GATATGAATATAGATACAGATATTAGATATAGATATTAGATATAGATATTAGGTATAGAGATAGATAGATAGATAGATAGACAGGTAGACAGCTAGATAGATAGACAGATGAAAGAGAGAGAGGGAGAGAGAGAGAGAGAGATAGATAGATAGATAGATAGATAGATATGGATATAGATATGGATATATATATATAGATATTAGATATAGATATTAGATATAGATATAGATATTAGATATAGATATTAGATATAGATACTAGATATAGAGAGAGATAGATAGATAGATAGATAGATAGGTAGATAGATAGATAGATAGATAGACAGGTAGACAGCTAGATAGATAGACAGATGAAAGAGAGAGAGGGAGAGAGAGAGAGAGAGAGATAGATAGATAGATAGATAGACAGGTAGACAGCTAGATAGATAGACAGATGAAAGAGAGAGAGGGAGAGAGAGAGAGATAGATAGATAGATAGGTAGATAGATAGATAGATAGATAGATATAGTACATCTACTGATATAGTCTAGTTTTGACTGATGAATTTAACGATTCGATTCCCTCCTGAAACAGGTGCCGGCACCTTGGGAGACCTGCTGCTCTTCCGCGTGACCTTGGCCGAAGCGGTGCCCGTGGCGGTCTTTGGCAAAGGACTGGACCAAGGCGACCCGGTCACCGTGGTGGACCGTGGTGCACCGTGCTGGGCCAGTTGAGTGGATGGATTTCATGGGATTTCCATAGGGGGATCCCCAAAAAATTTGGTTGATTTCATCAAAATATGAAAACAAATTTTAAACTAAAATGGATAAATGGATGATTTAGGGGTAGCCCCATTTCAGGAAACCTCTATATGATAATAGGATATAATAGGCCTATAACTATGGGATTGACCATGGGATATGATGTTGTTTTTTTAATGGATATATTAGATATTATTAGATGATATAAGCATGGGATTTTTGAAGCCCAGTTGGGATTTTTGAGCAGTTGGGATATGGGGCCGCTTTTTCACTATGGTGACATCCACTAAATGGCTAGGACACCTCAGAGGGGGTTGATCATCCTATAAGAGGGGATTTCACCAGCAATAACTGGGGGCGAATGGGGGTTTAGTAAGATTTATGATTTATAGATAGATAGATAGCTAGATAGCTAGATAGTTGGTTAGTTAGATACTTGGCGAGTTCGATACGTAGATAGTTTGATAGATAACTAGATAGATAGATGTTCATCTGAGATAGATACATTTTATTATTCCTAGTAGTAGGGAAAAACAAACAAAACATCAATCCGTGCGTTCGGTTAGGGGTCATTCCGACTTGGGATCAGTGGTTTATTTCCATCCCACATCCCAGAGGGATGTTCCATTCATCTAACTGGGGGTAGTCTCGCACCCCCAGGTCATACTCTCTGGTAAACTAACATAGCTATGGAAAATCACTTTGTTTATAGGTAAATCATCTATAAATTGTACATTTTCCATAGCTGCGTTAAATTACCAGAGGGTATTTTATCCAATCTCCCTTGGGGATCCCTAATTACAGTTATGGACCGAAATACCACTTCTAAGTCAGTGAAATCACCGCATTTATGGAAAACTAACCCCATTGATAGTCACAAAAATAACTGGTCATTATTTCGGGCTTTAACTATGCATTTTTTCCATATTTTCCCAAGGTTCCCCTGATTTCCCATGGTTTTTCCCTGGGTTTTTAGAGGGCTTTCACTGTAGGGGTCCGTGGATCTTCTCCACGACAGGCCACGCGGGCATCGTCCGTTCTGCGCTGTGCTTGCCGGGTGGCCGCGTGCTGACGGCTGGCGAGGTAAGGGACATCCCACGTGAAAATAGACAAAACTAAAGATACTTTGCCCGTATTTATGATGACTTAAACGAACTATATAGTTCAGCAGCTATCAAATCTGATTCCTAAGTTTGTAACTTGAACACGGATATTATATATATATATATATTATAAATAAACTATCTCCACAATAGAATTTCCTTAAGACTCCTTAAGAAATTTATGGAACGCCTTGGTCATCCCCAAAATCGACCCACAAATGCGCTGCGCACAGCGCGCGGCCCCAGGACGGACGTGTTTGCGCCTGGGCGGAAGCTATCGAGGATCTCGAAGGCTCCAAAGCTGCTATCAAGGGCCCAAGGGGATGAGGTGGACATGTTGGATCGACAATGAAGGATAGTAATTATGGGTGAAAGATGGTGAAAGTACGTGTTATGAGTTCTATAATTAGTCACTGGATGTTAGTGGCATACCTGAAGAGGTCACGTCTTATTCTTATGACTTTTTGGCTTCTGATGTTCTTAGCATCAATGGAAGACGTCGCATTTCAACTGAGATAATATGTTTAGCCATGGATATCGGTATGAGGAGGTGGTTTCAGCTATAGGTCAAAACGCCTGGTTTGTACTCTCTTGTGGAAAGAAATTTTGCTGGATTCCAGTGTTTCCGAAATGATTGCAAGAATTTTCACCCTTCAGAGCAGAAGGGCCTGAACCTCGTCCACGAAACTAAATTCAAGAATCAACTTCAGTATACTTCGGTAGGATAAGTCGCAAGCAAACAGCATCAACCACGAAAATATAGGAAATTGTGCCAGATAGGTTGCGCTACTTTGAGTTAGTTGTTTCCGATTGCACAGCCAATTGAACAGTTGTACAATTTCTAGACACTGCCGAGAAACATTGTCAGTCTTCTAACTGCGCCCCACTTACGAGGGCCCCACTTACGAGTGGAGTGTCATATTTTGCAAACCCTCTTGGGTCGATTTTTATCCTAAGAAGGTTTCTGAACCCCCAAGACATGCGCAAAGTAGTTTCTGTGAAGGTATTTGGATTTGGGAAACATCAGTATCACACAGCTACCATAGCCAGTTTCCAACTGTGACCCTCATCATCTATGGTATCTATGGTGCTGGCCTGTATATCAATGAACATAGCTCATTTGAGAGTTTCCTGAAATAGGGGTACCCCTAAATCATCCATTGGAATCATAGGATTTTCCATTAACCATCCAGCTATTGGGGTACCTTCATTGATGGAAACCACCAGAAAACCGGACATATTTCTGGAGGATTTCCCATGGCTATGTCGCCACCTGGGAGGTGCCAACTTCGGTTTGGAGCCCACCGTTGCTTCGAATTCGCGAAATCGAGAGGGGAAGGATGCGAAAAGGGTAGAAACATGCCAGGAATCATCAGGAATCATCAGAACAAAAATAGGGTCAACAAAAACCAGCGATCTTGGCGTGGGCCAAGGGATGGAAATAGCAATGGTTTAATGATCCCAGAGTGTGCAGGTGTGTCTAAGGGATGGACCATGGAAATAGCCATTGACAAATTTGGAATGTGTTACGGGGCACCCCTTTTTCATACAAACTCAAACCTTGGGACCTTGGGTAAGTTGTTTTGCAATTATAATAGCTAAAAAGGATTAAAAAGGGGTGTATGGTCCATGATGTTATGATATGATGATTATTCGATGATTATACGTACCAAGAAAGGGTAATACAGTAATAAATATCCATATCTTTTGGGTGCTTGCGGTATCCTCCATATTTTCGGCAGTCAGTCATTGGAGGATCCAATGGCTTGCGGCGCAAGCCCGATGCTCCAAGTTCACCACCAATTGGGTGCTGAAACTTCTTCTGGATATGGGAAATGGATGGTTTTCTTTATAACTGGCTTCACCTTGAATCAATCCACATCAATCCACATCATACCATTTTCTGATGTCGTGAACGTCCATGATTGGATCTTCAGATCTCATAGGAACTCTGGCTCAGGTCTATGGAGCCGTTCGGGGTGCTGCGGGAGCCCGTGCAAGCCCCTACTAGCCGTGCGTTCAAAAGATGCGCTGAGGCAACATGTGGACGACGACCACCGGGAAACGGTGGAACGACCATTGGGTGTCTGCAGTCATGCTGACTGTGTCATACGCGTCCGATGTATCCTGAAATAGGGTTTCTCTTCACATGGCTGAAGTAAATGGGAACGTAAGTTCATACATTGTAGTATATGAATAATAGATGCACCTGAAGTAAAATCCTGAAGTGTATAATCGGAAGAGACCTTGGCATTTTTGGCTTTTGGTATTGAGGGTCGACCAACTTGTCAGGCAGGCTTGTCTCATACTAGTTCCTGGATTTTGTCTTATCTCGAAGGGAGACTTTCGTTCCAGGTCCATGAGTTTTCACGCCTATGTGGGAAAATTGAAAATCTGACTGGGCAGTGTTTTTTCCCCGGCTAGGCCATGTTGTCGGAAAATTGCGGCTAGAACTTGGGTCAGGGTGAAGAGAATGTAGCTAGTGGGGGCACTTGGCATGGTGGGTGATTTGCAGCAACAGTGTTCAAGCCAAGTCCTTGTTGATTCTTGGCAAACTCAACAGTTGCAGCCCGAGCTTGGAACGTCGAAAACAGGATGTCTCTGTTCGTTCATTTGAAGGGATGACCGATTCCTGATTTCAAGTTGTTTTTTTTGGCTTTCCATCCCATAGATGGGATGATTGTAGATGGGATGATTGAGATGTATGCCTCAACCACTTACAGTACCCAAGTAGAGTCAGTTCTTCAACTCCGCCACCCAACCCACTCAGCCCACCCAGCGCAGCACACCCAGTAGTGGTACGCTACAGCGCCAATCACATTCAGCGCAGCCGAGTGCGGAAATGATCTGGCACCAAATATATATATATATATACTGGTTTGCCCATTGTACTATATTTTTGTTAGGGGTCCCAACCCAGCCGATGTATAATATATATATAATTATATATATAATTATATATATAATTATATATATATACTGTATAGATATGGCAGACCACCAAGTCCCAAAATATGTTAATACCAAATCTTACCAACATTGTTACATTTGAGGAAACAAAACACATGTTTCCAGTTTGTAAATTACAACTCCCAGAAAAAGACCTGAATCCAATGTTTTCCAACGGTTTTCCCCCCGAAACAGTCACCGAATCTCCATGGACGCGGCGCCCGCGGCGCCCGCGGCGCCCGCGGCGCCCACGGCGCGCAGCTCCCTGGCGGAACCACCGGTGGAGTTCGGCGGCGGCTTCGCGCTCAAGGGCGAGCTGGGGCATGGTGCGTCGGGACGGGTGTGCCTTGGCGCTGCCATGATGGGTTTATAGAAGCCATTGGAAGCAACAAAAAATGACATGGCCATTTTGGGGGCATACACTACCAGTATGTCTGGGTAAAATTATAAAGTGAATTATTATAATTAATGATAGGTTAGTAAGGTGAATTATCCCAGGAAAAAGATTTCAAGTTATTTATATATTGTAATTTACCAGATATGTGAAGACTAAGTGACTAAGTACAAGATAATTCAATCTAGCCCAGTTAGTGTTTCCGGGATGTTGTAGATATGTTTTGATGGTATTTACCTCATATGTTCATTCTTCCAGCTTTTCTATTTGTTTGGGGTTGCCATAGTTGTATGTATGTACTCATAATTACACAGGATTTGGACAATATATTAAAAACAAAAACAACAGAAAAAATGGAGATATGATCAACTTGAATGGGGTTGAATCAACCAATGGAAATCTGGTGACTGGTGAGACTTGGCTCCCGGGGGGCAGCTTGGACTTTGGGCGACGGAGAATTGGGATCTGTTTATAGGTTGTAAAGAGAAACACTAACAAATTCCGCATGTGCTGAAATTTTGCCATAGTAGGGTTTTGTTTGTGTTCTTGTGCCTTTACAGATATTGCTTATTGGTGGGTTTGAGCACAGTAGAGTTGACATAATCCGAGTTTAAATCAATGAAATTGAAGAATGAATGAAAGGGGGAGTTTACGAAAGTAATATATCCAACTTGAATTATGGGACACCGCGGCAGGACCGTCAGGCTATGATATCTGAAAGGAAAATGGCTGATCCTCCTAGCTGTTTTGAGATTGAACCAGCCAGCCTTGGGATTTACCTGCAACGGTGTCGTTAAACCTGGCTGGTCTGGTTGTGAATTCCTGAACTAAATGGAGGTGTATAATTAGTGTATATAGCTTGGAAAATCATCGAACTATTGCTGGATGTTCCAGTCATGATGACACCGGAGGGTTGCCCAAACTCGGGGAACCAACAAAAGTGGATCATCCACCTTGTGGTTGGAGACGTTGATGTCTGGTCTGGGATGGATGTTTCAATGACCCTATGGGCTGGTGCCATGTGCTGCTTGAAATATTGCGTATTTCGTCCGTGGACCAGACACAAGTTGACGAGCCCAACGTTTAGTTCCGTTTTCCCTCTGGTGAACTCACAATTTTGCTTTGGAACATCAAGCTCAATTTGGGCCATGGTCCATAATCTCATAAAATATCAGGCTGGATTTGCGAACATTTCTCAACCAGAGGGTACTTACTCTAATAATTACTATTAATCAGTACTTATAGACAAATTCACACGCGATACGCATGGTTTTCACAGGGGATCCCCAGGCGGGGTAGTTTATCCTGCTGTTCCCTCCAGCGCTTAGGTTCGAGTGCAAGAAGAAGGATTCTTCAACGCTGTATGTGTCGAACCCAACCTGGGGAGGGCAAAACATAGGGGAAAAAGTGTCAAAAAAGATAAGTGGAATGATAGCCGGTTGGCGGTTTGGAAAACATTTTGTTCAACTCCGCAGTGGATTTGATCATGATGTTTTGCTTGAATAAACTCACTGTCTTTGGCTGGTGAAATCCCTACTATCCTCATCATGCCCTTGATCTTCTCATAGTTCTTTACTTGTTGATTCACATGTGCATGTCATTTTCAGTTTTTTCTACTTCAACTGGCAAAACTGTCACAGCCATGTAATTGTTCAGCGAGAAAGGTCACCAGGAAACGCCAACATGCAATTTCTGTATACTTCCCAGACTGCGGTCTATTGCGATTTGTATTCTCCATCACCAGAATATACAAGAACTGTTCATTCTACAGCCGCAATCAAGTTTAATATCCGTGTTGTTCAAGTTCTTCATGGCTCAATTCCCCGGTTGAATGATGTTAAATGTATTTATATAAATGTAATGTACCGAATATCCCCAGCTTGGCTCGAACATACGGAACTCTTTCACGTCTTTCAAAAAAACCCATGGGACTTGTACATCAGTTCCTGTTTCTGTTCCTGGCTCTGGCGCAGTCTCTGGCGTACTTCACTACGACTGGCGAGTCCATCCAACCTTTCAAGCCTCCTGACTCCTGGGGGTCTGGCTGCAGCTTCGTAGGCATGAGGATTTCCTATCGCTGCCAAGATGAAGCACGTGAGTCTGCGGCTGTCCCACAGATGCTCAGCTTTCGCGTGGATTGCCGAGAAGCCCACGGGAACTTTCACAACCTCACTCTCTTTGATCGCAAGGGCTGGTGTGGCAAACTGGTATACACGCGCTATGCCAAAACAAGCTCAGAGATGGAGGAAGATCCAACTGCTCCCTGGCTTCCGTTGGTTCATGATCACACTGTGACCATCCAAAAGGGAGAGGTTTTCGACCTCGAATGTATCCCCTTAAGGACGTTTGCTTGGGTGCGTGCAGCGCCATCACCCGGTTCTGACAACACGGAATGGAAGCTACCTTTGTCCATCTTGGTTGATGGTAAGGAAGAGGATGCCAGCTGCGGCTCCGTGCAATTTGCAGCTTTCAGTCTGCTGTATCCGCAGACATTTCTGACACGGGAGTGGGAATCTTGTGTGTCTGTTTTGCAAAGGACCTACGCATGGAAGATGACCTTGACCAAGTCCATCAACTATACCCATTGGGTCAGCTTCTCCAGTCGAGCCTTGCAAAGACCTGGCATTTTCCCCAAGATTGATCTTGGTAGTTCGGTTCGAAGTGATGTTTCAAGGGTGAACAAAGATACCTTGCACTTGACTATCCTTGAAGAATTTGGTGACGCACATTTGACTAAGCTAAACCAAAAGTGGTTGGTGAGGGTCGACCCACATTTCTATGGTGCTACTAGCACCTTGAACAGCTACTCTGTGGACTTTAAGCTGGAGGTGAACGAGGATGCTTTTTTGACTGGTGTCCAAAATGTGACCGTGAAACTGGGGCTGGGCCTTCATAGTAGCAATTTTGCGACCCTGCTGCTTCCGGTGAACAAGACATCCGTGCCAGTGCCAGAGTCAAAATCCCGCGGTGCTTCCTGGGTGTGGTTCATCGTTGCCTTCATGTTGATGTTTCTTGTGGCTGCCGTGGGCTATGTTTACCGAAGAGATCTTTTTCCATGGATGCAGCCTCCTGGAAGCAACCCTGCAGACCAAATTGAGATGCAAGGAAGTTGAGAAATCAAAAGCTGCGTGCGGCTTGCAGGATTTTTTTTCTCGCGGTGTGGACTGGTTGAAGATGCCTTACATATAATATATGAATATAAGTTAGACAAACAATGTCATCTATGTTTTTTTGCATAAATATCACCTGTTTAATGTGTAAAAACTGTGTTTCTTAGTTTTAATTGCACTTTTTGAAAAGTTGTCCCATGAGACAGGAATAGACAGATATGTATATATATGATTGTATATGTATATATATACACATACAATCATATATTTCTGTAGTTGATATATGATATATCATAAAGTCATTTGGTTGATATACATACATATATATATAACATATCATAAAGTCCTATTGTATAGTATTTATTATTATATTATGTTATATTTATTATGTATATATATATATATATCCGCCATATATCATGCACGTATCATCTATCGTAAAGTCATTTGGTTCATATATAATACATCATAAAGTCACATTATATATATGTATTTATATTTATATATTTATATACTCACCATATATTATATATTTATGTAGTTGGTATATCATAATGACATATATCACAAAGTCATTCGGTTTACATACAATCTATTTTATACAGTCATTTTACACTTCAATCATTTATTTATCCACCATATAGCATATACTTATCGAAGGAAGTTTAGAAGTCAAACTTCCGACAATATGGACAGATGAAAAAGCAGAGGTGGGAAGAGTCAGAGAAGAGAAGAGCAGAAGAAATAATATCAGAAAAGAGAAAGAGTCAGAAGACAGAAGATGCAGGTGCGTGAAAAGGTGGTAGAAAAGTCGCGAAACATTGTGTTTTTCCAATGATTTGTGGCTCCAGAGGGTCGAAAAGTAGGCTCGCTAAAGCGGCGGGTGCGGAGCCATGTGGTCAGATGAGAGATGAACAATTGCACGCCGTTGTGGTGCGAAGCACATTTCCAAGTCAAAATGTACATGGCAGGCGTGGGACATTTGAAGAGGGTCTGCAAAGATGCATTTTCCGTGGCAGGCGCAGTACAAGAGACATGCTTATCATAGCTGTTAGGAGGTCGGCGCTGATTTCCTGAGAGGGGTTGCATTTTGGAGCATCAGATCTTCATTTTTCGGAAGATGATTTTGCGTGACAGGCGCAGCACTTTGTATGACCTGGCCTCACTTTTTCGTGGCAGGCGCAATACTTTAGACAGGTGGAGTGGAAAAATCGGAAAAGGCACTACTACCACTGCTCCGCCTAATACTACTATTACTACTACTACTACTAATAATAATAATAATAACAATATTACATTACACGACAACTACAACTACAAATACACTACACTACACTACACCACGCTAATTACACTGCAGTACACTGCAACCACAAATACAAATACAACTACACTACACAAGACTACACTGGACTCATTACATTACACTACAACTACAACTGCAACTACAATTACCACTGCATTACACTGCACTGCACTCCACTACAACTACAGCTACAGTACTTTACACGACACATCACTAGACTACACTACACTATACCACACTGCAGTACACAACACTACAGTACACTACATTGCGCTACACCAATTACACCATAGTACACCATATTACATATTACACCATAGTACACCACAACTACAACTGCAACTACACTACACTATACAACTGCAACTCCACTACACTACAACTACAACTACAACTGCGCTACACCACCCTACATCCAGCATTGGGGCGAGGTGACCACTGCAACCATCGCAACCACTCCAAAAAACACAACTCCAACCACCTTTCGGTCCATCAGTGGATTCGCTCTGCCATCCGTGATTCACAACAACCAAACTCTCCTGTAGGTTTCCTATTTTTGAACTGGTATATCATAAAGTCATGTGGTCGATATACAATCTTTCATAAAGTCATATTATATCAAATTTGCGTTTTTTTTTTGCCATGTTTCCACAATTGCCATTTCTCATACAATTATACAGTTGATACATCACGCATGTATCATAAAGTCATTTGTGTGATAGATATATATATATATATTTATTTATATATCTCAGAAAATCATGTTAAGTTTTCATATATATATATATAGAATGGGCTAGCGCCCTGGTGCCGCCAAACCTCCTTCTTAGGAGGGGTCCGGCCGAGAGAGACCGGCACAGTCACCCCACCCAACCGTGTTGGTCTGCTCGGGCTCAACTATGTAAGCATAGTACGGCCCAGGGGGGGCATCATTTCGATTTAGAAACCCCTCACCACCACTTCCCTTTCTGTCTCTGCATCCTACATGTAGACAGTACTGGCAAATAAGAGCAGCTTTGAGCATATGAATCAAATCAATGCTTGTAGATGTAGCTAAAAGCCACATCTCTGTATACCCTTTTTCATGGTAGCTTTGATATCGCAGCACCGGATTGTGTGTGACCCCAATTTTGAATACACAATGTCGGATTCCAATTTTGTTTCTGAAACAATCAACCTTTTCGATACAACGGGCCAAAAGCTTTCCACATGTTATCTTAGACGCGCCAGTCCGCGCACAGTGGCTCAGAAGGCCAAAGGGCTTCACAGTCTCCCAGTCAAAGGTTGAAGCATCAAAGTCATCAGCAAGCTTGGCCAGATCCTTTTTGGATGGGTGGGTGAAACATGAAATGATGTTTGTACACAGAAGTATTCAAAGTCTTTTCCTACCGAGTTTTTGCAGTATGCAATATCCCCAAAACTTATGACATAAGAAACCGAAGGTGAAAATCACTTCGTTACCTCGCTTGCCATGCACCAAGCAGCCATCTTAGATGGTTTGGCACCCAGAGTCCCCAGTAGCTAAACCTTGGGAGAAGTAATCAATATAGTTGTTTTCATCGCCAGTGTCTTTCCTGAGCTGAACGTATGAGCAGGACCTTGAAAGATTTAACACTATTGTGGGGAAATGGGGTTACAGGATTGTTGAATATAGTATAAACGCTTTTGGAAGTATGCAACATTCAGTCAAAGAACGGGTTCTTTGCAGCATTCAAAGGATCATCAGCCTCAATATGGAGTCGCAAGGATAGCACCGGAGCTGGTGTTGATGGAGGTAGCAAACCAGCAAGCTCGCAGGTAGGTTTCAATTTCCTGAGTTCCATGGACAGAAAGGCTGCATCGATTGAAAGTTGGTAATTGGTAATTTGACAGGTATGCCTCCAACAACTGCAGCCATGACACTTCCCATGTTCCGGTTTAACAGCGCCAAGTCCAGCAACCCGCTTGGCGCCAGTAAAGGGGCACTCATAGGTCAGTAAAATATCAAGCAGGTCATCCTTCATGAGGGCCACTAAATGGAAAGGTCAGAGCATATGTTTGCCCCGCTTGCAAAGGGAATGTGGCCAGTGACGTGAAGACAGGGCAAATAAACCATCGAACGGTCTGTGGGAACCAGTTTTCTGTGAAGGACGGCGTTGTGAAGGAGAAAGCGTATGTTTACGTTTGCCTCGCTTGCAAAGGGAATGTGGCCAGGAACGTCAAGACAGGGCAAATAGATCATCGAACGGTCTGTGGGAGCCAGTTTTCTGTGGAAGACGTCGTTGTGAAGGAGAAAGGTGGCAAACGGCAGGCTTGAACGCCAAGAGAAGACTTAAGAAGCAATTGATGTGGCCTTGGCAGCCGTTGACCTGGCCTTGGGGTGCCTTTTGCCTGCGGGTTGTAAGCGTTGTAAGCATTTAACGCCTGGCAAACGGCAGGCTTGAACGCCCATAAGAAGCCATTGAGCTGGCCTTGGGGTCCCTGTTGCCTGCGGGGTTGGGCGTGCCAAGAAGCTTCTTAAGCGTTTTAAGCGTTTAAATGCTGGCAAACGGCAGGCTTGAACACCCATAAGAAGCCATTGATCTGGCCTTGGGGTGCCTGTTGCCTGTGGGGTTGGGCGTGCCAAGACAATGGTTAAGCGTTTTAAGGGTTTGAAGCGTTTTAAGCGTTTAACGCCTGGCAAACGGCAGGCTTGAACGCCCATAGGAAGCCATTGATCTGGCCTTGGGGTGCCTGTTGCCTGCGGGGTTGGGCGTGCCAAGAGGATGGTGAAGCGTTGTAAAGATTTTAAGGGTTTTAAGGGTCTAACGCCTGGCAAACGGCAAACTTCAACGCCCATAAGAAGCCATTGATCTGGCCTTGGGGTGCCTGTTGCCTGTGGGGTTGGGACGTGCCAAGAGGATGGTTAAGCGTTTTAAGGGTTTGAAGCATTTGAAGCGTTTTGAGTGTTTTAAGCGTTTAACGCCTGGCAAACAGCCATTGATCTGGCCTTGGGGTGCCTGTTGCCTGCGGGGTTGGGCGTGCCAAGAGGATGGTGAAGCGTTGTAAAGATTTTAAGGGTTTTAAGGGTTTAACGCCGGGCAAACGGCAAACTTCAACGCCCATAAGAAGCCATTGATCTGGCCTTGCGGTGCCTGTTGCCTGCGGGGTGGGGGCGTGCCAAGAGGATGGTTAAGCGTTTTAAGCGTTTTGAGTGTTTTAAGCGTTTAACGCCTGGCAAACGGCAGGCTTGAACGCCCATAGGAAGCCATTGGTCTGGCCTTGGGGTGCCTGTTGCCTGCGGGGTTGGAGCATGCCAAGAGGATGGTTAAGCATTTTAAGGGTTTTAAGCTTTTTAAGCGTTTTAAGCGTTTAACGCCTGGCAAATGGCAGGCTTAAACGCCCATAAGAAGCCATTGATCTGGCCTTGGGGTGCCTGTTGCCTGCGGGGTTGGAGCGTGCCAAGAGGATGGTTGAGCATTTTAAGGGTTTTAAGCTTTTGAAGCGTTTGAAGCGTTTAAGGCACTGATCTGGCCTTGGGGTAGCTTTTGCCTGCGGGGTTGGGCGTTAGCGCCTGGCAGACGGCAAACTTCAACGCCCATAAGAAGCCATTGATCTGGCCTTGGGGTGCCTGTTGCCTGCGGGGTTGGAGCGTGCCAAGAGGATGGTTAAGCATTGTCAGGGTTTTAAGGGTTTGAAGCGTTTTAAGCGTTTAACGCCTGGCAAACGGCAGGCTTGAACGCCCATAGGAAGCCATTGATCTGGCCTTGGGGTAGCTTTTGCCTGCGGGGTTGGCCGTGCCACGAAGCTTCTTAAGCGTTTTAAGCGTTCAAAGGCTGGCAAACGGCACGCTTGAACGCCCATAGGAAGCCATTGATCTGGCCTTGGGGTGCCTGTTGCCTGCGGTGTTGGGCGTGCCAAGAGGATGGTGAAGCGTTGTAAAGATTTTAAGGGTTTGAACTAAGAAGCAATTGCTCTTGCTGGCAAACCACAGCAAGCTAATAGCAAGCCGACAAAAACAGGTTCCACACCTCCGGTGGTCCCAGGCGCCGCCCATGCCTTGGCGAAGGCAGCGGTCGGCAGATTATATATATATATATCATAATTATATATACAATATACAGATATATATATATGTATACATCCACCATATATCCAGCATATCCCATGTGTTTTTCCCCAATGCTGACCGAAGAGGCAGTGAAGGTGCTGCACCTGCGTGCCCTGCGGCTACGCAGCACGGCGCAGCGCGATTTGACACGCTTGGGACGCACCTGGGACTTGAAATCTGGAGAAGAGTCATGGTAAAACGGTGGTTTTACCAGGGAAAATGGTGGTTTTATCAGGGAAAATGGAAATGTCCAACAAAGATGATATGTATTTACTGAGGAAACCAGGGGTGATATTGATTAATGACCTCACGGCGTGACGTCACTGGAATGATACCAGCTCCAATGATTTCCAGTGGACGGAAAACGTTGAGATTTGGGGGCGGGGGTTCACCACAGAGTCTGCAGCAGGATTTGAACATCTTGTCCACCTACAGTCTGGCACTCTTATGTCCCTTATTTTGGTGTCCAAAGTCTGTTTGTTTCAGATTGTTTCAGACATGTCCGCTTGCATGCTGTTTTCTCCATTTACATTGATTTTGGACAGGTAAATGCAACATGTGTCTCGCTCCCTTTTAATCTATACCTAGCTCGCAATCTATTCCAAAATGCGCAAGGGCTGCCTGCAGCTTATCCCCTTTCATTTGCCTCTACGTTAATTTACAATTTATTCCTTGAACATGGCCTTGCCAACGGATTCCTCAATTTGTGCCGTGCATTGTTTTGAAAAGACAACATTTTCTGTTCAAGAACAACCGCATACAGTTGAAGTTGCCAACCCACATAATACACACACACATATATATATATATTGATATGACCCCATTCTGTAGTGGTTGATTTTTTTTCCTGGGAGTCCACTACCAAAAAATAGTAATTTTGAAATCACGGACGCGCATATTTTACATCGATACATCCCTTAAAACCCAGGAAATCAATCTTGCTTCCAGTTACACCTTTGGTGTATAAATTGCCCGGCAATAGGAAAATAGCTTTGAGACGCTGTTCATGTGGGGGCGGGTTAATTTGAACATGTACATCAAAAGCCAGGAAAAAATGTCCCATGATTGTTTAGGGCGGGGTGGTTTTTCATATGAATCCACAAGGTTGGAACGTTTTTTTTTTTGGCTGGTTTTATGCTGGATTTTCATAGGTCAGACATCAGAAAATGAATCTTTTCGAGTACTTTGTGGACAAAGGTTGCTGGATTTGGGTTTGTCTGAAGTGAGGTAACCCCACACATGTCTATTCTAATTGAGACACTGATATCCCCGGCCGTACTGGACATGTTTTTCCCTGGCATTCAAGTTCAGAAACTGCAAAATTTGTTGCAACTAAACATTTGCCACCATGCAATGCTCGTCAGGCTGAAGATACATTTGTCTCTGCAAAAAGAAACAAACACATATGGGCAAAGAAACAAGCACAAATATTCAGCTCCACCAACAAAAGACGTGACTTGAAAGGCCGAGGGGCAGGTGTGAAAAATGCAGGGGGCAAGACCTTGGGCTACATGCTTGCGGTGGATCTGCAAAGCTTGGCCTCCATAGGATAAACGACATATCACCAGGCCAATGTGTTTTTAATGTGACAAGACTTTAATGTCCCATGGGGAAAACATGAAAAGTCAAGGTTGTGGCCCACAAAATGAACGGCAAACACTTTGTGCAACTTGTGACGAGGAATGTTGGATCGCATTGCATTTTGTGATTCCTCCGCAAATTGAACAAAAAGATGAGAATGAGAATTGGGATGATTTGGCATGATTTGGAAAGCCCCCAAGTGATCCGACAGTGATCCAAATGTTTATTTTAAGATGTTTAATTTCAATAAACACGATTATATGATAAACAGTTGAGTCTTGGGTACTACCACCTGATCTTCAGACAATCCCCATTCGAATCGGTCGTGAATTGGAAACGTTCGGACCCCGTGCTTTAGATTTTCGGTTAGATTTTGTATGTACATGTGAACCCAGAAAACTAATCTGTTGACAGCATATGTTGAGGGTGGTTATCTGAGAATTGTATAAGGGTTGACACGCTGGAATTCATGCGGTATCAGGGGAGAACAAATCCCTTCTGGAAACCTTAGGCATCAGGACCGTTTGATGCCTGCAAGGCTCATGCATCTTGGAAAGTGGATTTTACCAGAAAGGTCAAGGTACCAGGATTTTAAGGGTCAGAGATCATGACCCACACATTTCCCGGACAGGACCTTCCGGGGTAGACCAGAGGGGGATTATTTGCATACATACATTTGACATTCATACGTACGTACGTACGTACATACATACATACAGATAGAATAGATAGATAGAAATTAGACAAATAGACAGATTAGAGAAATTAGAAAGATAGAGAGATTAGATTAGACTAGATCAGATCAGATTAGATAGATCGATAGATAAAATTTTAGGTAGATTTGAAAGATTTGAAAGATTAGAAAGATTACAGAGAAAGATAGATAGATAGATCGATAGACAGATAGACAGACAGACAGATAGATAGATCGATAGATAGATAGATAGATAGCTGGATAGACCGACAGATCGATAGATAGATAGGTAGATTAGAAAGATTTGAACGATTGGACAAATTAGAAATATTAGAAAGACAGATAGATAGGTAGTTAGATAGATAGAAAGAAAGATGGATAGATAGAAAATAGATAGAGTGATAGATAGACAATGAAAGTATAGACAATGATAGACAGATATCCCATATGGGTCCCATATGTTTAGATCACGATAGATCCATGGCTTATTCGTTCATGTTGTCTCCCCCTTCTCTCCTTGCCTCTTCGCCCCAGCGCTTCCCGCGCTTCGCGCGCTTCGCTGCCCAGGAGAGTTGAAGATCCTCAAGGAGCTTCCGCCTCACCCGCCGCTGGGCGTTTGGCGAGGTGGGAAGAATAACTAACCAGTTTTAATATGCTTTAATATGAGTGAACAAATAGTAAAGCATCGCAATCTTAACATAAATATGTGGAATAAACCCTAAACATATGGGTGGCTTATTATTGCTCTACTAGCCTCATAATATGATGACAAACATCGATAAACCAGAGGAGCAGCGTCGAAAACTTTCAAAAAAGGTTTAGATTAACTTACTTCCGTGAAAGTAAGCATGCGGGATCCACAACAATAAAACATCCTCAATTTCAGACCATTTGCTAACCACAAATAGAGCCGGTTGATTGAGTTTTTTGTTGTGGATCCCCAGGGTTTCAGGGATAATGAGTTCAAAGGTCAACTGAAGGGCGGAAATTTGAACCCGACACACATTGGCCATCGACGCACGGACGGCTGATGGCCATGGGTCAAATATCTGAGATGCAAATTACTGGGGATGATTCCTCTGTGGTAAACCCAAAAATGAACCATGCCGAATAGAGGTTTATGAAATTGGAGTTAGGATGATGTAAAATGACCCCCACATGGTTGCTGAATGCGATATAGTTTTATTGGGTTAACCTCACTGGTGAACAAACCACACGCTGATGGTGACCAGTTAAAACCGTTTTTTGTCAGGACCTCAAGTTGGTCCCATATCCAGAATGGAACTTGAGAATATCACTACAAAAAAAAACACACTTCTGGTCCAACACCCAAGCTGCACAACCCAAAAAAAACCTGATTCATTATATTTTTGACTCATCCCTTCTCAGGTGGGAAATAGAATGACCATCGAAATGACTCCCATTGACCCAACATCCCAATCTATTAACCTCTATAGATCTACTGCAACAATTTGTTTCGCGATTTTTTAAGTATCAAAAGGACAAACCGTCATATCACGGGGCAGACGGGGTTATCAGTGACTGGGTCCCATGAGTTACGCTGAGGCGGATTGTACAAATGGTCGACTCCTTTGAGGCCAGCTGGGTGCAATCCAGTTGTGACCCAGAAATTTTTGTGTGAATTTGGAGAATTCACCAAAAAAGTAATGGAGGTCACATTTATAAAATCCGAGACTGGAAAACATCCCAGTGGATCCAGCAGGAGTGGGCAACCCAGCAGTGGTGGTGACCTACCATTGTCTACCATTGTGTTAACATAGCCATGGCTTTGGAAACAACCATACCTCAATAGGGATTTACGTAGTCAATTGCAGGGTGAAGTCGCCATACACAAAAACCGGTGATGACCGGTCTCACTGTTGTAGTGACCTCAATAGATCAAAATTGTGTAGTGGCTCTAAATATGTTCCTTGTTTTCAACCCTATTTAGGATGATGGTTCCCTGACTTTCATATGTCAGTGGGATTGAAACCACCAATCAGAAAATGAAGGTTTTCATACATTTGGGGTACCCCCAAACCATCCATTTTATTTTCGGATTTCCATTAAAACATATAAACCATCCATTTTTGGGGTATCCAATTTATGGAACCCCGAAATGATGATTCATTTTGGAAAAAAACATTCCATGGTCCGTGGTTCTTTGGACCAAGGAGGGCGATTGGTTCTTCCTTGTTCTGGAACTGGTGCGAGGAGGCAGGGAGAAATTCAAACAGATCAATTCTGGAACTGGTGCTTTCGTTTCCCATGAAAGAACATCTAAAAGTCCGATAAAACACACGCAAGTATTTTATAACAATATATATCATCATAAACATCACATAAAAACATATAAATTTTCAAACTTACCATATTTGCCGTTGAAATCTCCATGAAATCCTCGTGGCTTTCACAGCTCCACATTTTTAAAGAGGTGACCTCTTTCGGGCGCTGATGCAACGTCGCCCCACGCGACTCTTTGAGCGCGAGGCCGCCTTTGTGTCTCTTGGCACAGTTTATAACATTCGAGGATTGATTTGCGATATTGGGACAATAAGTAATGGATTATTGATTATTGTAATCCACTTAAACCAACAACACATGGGGATTGAGGTATATATGTAATTACCCACTAAAATGTCCTCAAACTTTTTTTTTTATTTTTGTGATATGATATGATATGATATGATATGATATTATATTATTATATTATTTTATTATGTTTTATTATAATAAATATTATATTATATTTTATAATAATACATTATGCTATGTTATGTTATATTATATTCTATTATATTATATTCTATTATATTATATCATATCATATTATATTTTATTTTATCATATTATATTATATTATGTTATGTTGTATTATTATATTAAAATTTATTTTAATATTATATTATATATACACACATATATTTATATATATGATATATATATATATATATAGTATGGTCAAGAATCTCAAAGAAGGTGTATGGCAAACCTTAACCCTGGACAAATGGGCTATAGAAACCAGCGATACCAGCCCAAGAAAAGAATGCAGTAAGATCACCTGAACATTGAACTGGCCACCACTCATAACTGGAGCAATATCCAGTAAAATTTGACTTGTTCAAGGGCTGGTATCCGCATTCCCCCAAGCTATGAGGTGATTGAATTTTACCGATCCAACTGTAGATTTTTTCCACCTTTTCAACCGCAATATATGCTGGTGTGTTCAACCAACACATCCATTTTAGTCATGAAACATCGGCAAAAACACCTTCCAATTGCCCAATTCGTTTGGTGAATTTCTGTTGGTAATTTCCGAATGCGTAGCAAGGGTTCCCGTTTCACTCTCGGGGTCAGGGGTTGAGGGTGCGTTCGCTCGACGTTGCGAAACCGTTCGTAACCGTCCGCAACCGTCCGCAACCGTCCGCAGGGCCATATGGCCGTGCCTATGGTAAGTTCGTTCAGACGTGTTTCGTAACGTGTGGAAAGGCCTTTTTATGTGGCAGGCGCAATACTTTTGCGACGTTTTCAGGAGATGCGTTGCATTTTTCGTGGCAGGCGCAACACTTTGGAGACCATCATCGTCATTTTGCATGGCAGGCGCAGCACTTGAGGCGTGTGGTGCTGCGTGTTTTTTGCGAATCTTATTGTCAGGGCTGCGTCAAGTGGCGACAAGGTGCAGATTCCGGGGCAGGTGTGGCATTTTGTGAGATCTCTTGAAAATTGACGGAAGCCTCGCAAGAAACATCGATTTTCAGGTAGCAAATTTGGAGGTTCATAGGAAAACTCGTAGGAAAACGTCGATCCTGAAGCTACAAAAGTGTGAAAATTGGAGGAAGTCTCGCACGAAATGCTCGTTTTGATGCTCCCACGTGTCTCGTCTCGAGTCTCTGGTTTTCCTGTGGCCGCGCCGTGTCTATGTGGGAAGCTGCAAAACCTATCTTTTTTGAAGCTGTCAAAGCAGGTTGTCATGTCGTCTTGCGTGGCAGGCATGGCACTTTGTGAAATTCCAACCTGTTTGATAACGAGTCGAAAGTCGTTTTGTGTGGCAGGCGCAATACTTTTGCGTCGTTTTCAGAAGATGAGTTGCAGTTTTCGTGGCAAGCGCAGCACTTTGGAGACCTCCATCGTCATTTTGCGTGGCAAGCGCAGCACTTCAGACGTGTCGCATTGCGTGCTCTACACTTCACACTCCCCACTCTACACTCCACACTCCACACTTTACACGCCACACTTCACACTTTACACTTGACACTCCTCACACCACACTCCACACTTTAAACTCCACACTTTACACTCCACACTCTACACTCCACACTTCACACTCCACACTCCACACTTTACACTCGACACTTTACACTCCACACTCCACACTTTACACTTTACTCTCCACACTTTACAATTTACACTTTACACTCCACACTCTACACTCCACACTACATTTTGCACATTTTACACTTTATACTTTACACTCCCCACTCCACACTTTACACTCCACACTCCGCACTTTACACTTTACACTCCACACTTTACACTTTCCACTCCGCGCTTAGCAAGTGACACTTTACACTCGACATTTAAACTTTACAGTCCACACTTTACACTTTACACTGGACACTCTACACTCCACACTCGACATTTTACACACTTTACACTTTACACTGTACACTCCAGACTTTACACTCCACACTTTACACTTTACACTCTACACTCTACACTCCACACTTCACACTCCACACTCCACACTTTACACTCCACACTTTACACTCCACACTTTACACTTTACGCTCCACACTTTACAATTTACACTTTACACTCCACACTTTACACTTTACACTCCACACTCCACACTCCGCACTTTACACTTTACACTCCACACTCCACACTTTACACTTTACACTCCACACTCTACACGACACTCCCCCCTTTGCACTCCACACTTTACACTCCATACTCTACACTTACACTCCACACTCCACACTTTACACTCCACACTTTACACTTTACGCTTTACACCCCACACTTTACACTTCACACTCTACACTCCACACTCTACACTTTACACTTCACACTCCGCACTTTACACTTGACACTTTACACTCCACACTCCGCATTCTACACTCCGCACTCCACACTCTATACACTCTACACTCCACACTCTACACTTTACACACTCTACACTTTACACTTTTCACTCCACACTCCACACTCTACACTCCACACTCTACACTCCACACTCCAGAGTTCACACTCCACACTCTACACTTTTCACTCCACACTTTACACTTTACGCTCCTCACTCCTCACTCCACACTTTACCCTCCACACTCCACACTTTACACTTTACACTCCATTCTTTACAATTTACACTTTACACTCGACACTCTACACTCCACTACATTTTACACACTTTGCACTTTACACTCCACACTCTACACTCTACACTCGACACGCTACACTCCACACCCAACACTTCACACTCCACACTCCGCACTTTACACTCTACACTCCACACTCTACACTCCACACAGCATACTTTACACTCTACACTTTACACTGTACACTGTGCACTCTACACTCTACACTCTACACTCTACACTCCACACTCTACACTCTACACTTGACACGTCGCTCTCTACACTCCACACGCTACACTCCACACGCCACACTTTACACTCCACACTTTACACTCTACACTCCACACTCTTCACTTTACACTCCACAATCCCCACTTCACACGCTACACACTGCATTCCCCACTCAACCTTCCACTTTCTTCACACTCCGCACTTTGCACTCCACCCTCTTTCGGATCCCACAGTCTACAGGGCACTGGTACGGTACCAGGGGAAAATGTACAACACCTTTCAAATCACTTGTTTCACGAAAGTGTTTTACGTGACTGCATTCGGGTTCCTGGGCTGCATCTTGTTTCATTCCCCAATTTTCCGTGAATAAAAACTCGCGTTTGTCCCAAAATGGGGTAATGTAAATCCCCAATTCAAGGGGTAATTAATCTGAGGTTGACCATGAATACCAGTGAACCCTAAAGTGGTGAGTGTCTGTCGCTATTGTTAGTTTTAACTATTGGCTTTAGCTGTTTTTAACACCCATAATGAACCATTGCCAACCATTGTTAACCATCATCAGCCAGCATTAATCATCATATATCATCATGAAGCATCATTACTCATTTTTAACTATAGATTTCATCACCAAAAACTCCAAATTTGCTGCTTTTGGCAACCAAAGGATTGGTAATGGATTCGGGGTGAAATGCAAATGATTTGGGATGGTAAATGCCCCTATAAATATTTCCAGGAACACATAATCCCATTTAGTTATTCCCTCAGTTCTCCCAGGGGCCATCTAGCCCCCACCCCTCATCCCGCTAATCCTATTGCTGTGGCATGGTGGAAAACACACCTATATTTTTGTTTGACAATTGATTTGGAGGGAGTGATCTACAAATTTCGGCCGAAAATTACCTAAATCAGGTCATGTCAGAGTTCCATCTACACACCCCAAATCAAGTAGCAAGTAAAATAAGTGATTTAAACGCTCTACTTTGTAGATGTCAACCATTAGCATTTGGAAATCCCAGATCTAAGCCTTTCAAATGGAAATTGTAGAGATTCCTAGGGAAAAGGAATGTGTTGTAGATGTCTATTTACTGAATATCATTGGCTGACATCTACACAGGGTTCAGCAAACCATAGGATTTTGGAAATTTCCAAGTGAAATTTGCAGAAATTGACCTCCATTTTCTTGACAGGGAAATCTACAACGAACAATTTTTCTGCTTGCATTAGATTTGGGATCAAGACTTCAGGGGTCCTTGCACAGCAATGGGATTACCAGTTGCACCACCAAGAAGTCAACATACACCATATCAAAGGAATATTTAGGCCACCAACCCTATGGGCATCACACATATTTACACATATTTGGAATAATAAGAGTAGATCGTCAGATAGGTTTAACACTTAGGGCCCCAAGAAGTTAACATATACTATACCAGTTTAGGTCCCCAACTCAAGGACATCACAAATATCAACAATAATGCTAGCCAAAATTGGGACCCCAAATCAAATGCTTTTGGCCCGAAATCTAAGTGCTATTCCTTACCAAGTTAAACCCAGGTTTTGGCAGCTGGTGGACGGTATTGCTTTCCTGTGTCGCGGCGGCTTTACGGACACGACGACCTGTGGTCCTCGTGGATAGTTTGATGCGCAGTTGGAAGGCATGAACTTACAAGATTCCATGTTGAAATACGGAAGACATGAACTTGGAAGACATGAATGAAACATGGGGGTAGTTGATAGTCTGAATTATTACATCTTGAAATTCTATGCTTAACTTCCATCGTTTGGAGATTGGATGATATTAGATGGGATTAGCTGTCTTTGAGATGGTATAAGCAGAATTTAAACGTCGAATGAAGGAATGCGATTTTTCAGATGGGTGATTGTTTGAATTGGATGGGTCATGATGGGTCCTATTTGTCGACAGGCGGGGTTCCGAGAAGGAATCATATATGCCATGCATGGTCCAAAGTTGTGCATGATGCATGTTCTTTTGGTATACCAACTCTTGGGGCGCTCCGATTGTTGGCCCAGTTCAAATGCACTGACCCCACCACCAGAGTCCGGGGCTGTGTCATTATGGACCTCTGAGTTCATGCGAGAGCCGAGTCCAAAGTTGGATTGTATATATTGGGGGATCGCCATCAATCCATTGATACTCGCACAGAGATGTATATAATTAGTACCCATTATAAGTATAATCCCACTACGGGAAGGATGACCACAACACACATACCATGTTTTGACATGTTTTGACAATCACTTCTTTACTCGATGAGACAGGGCCTTTCCAGCTTGCAAGCATTCTAACGAGAGGTTTTGTCAAACGATTGCCTGATATCTTCAAACCACATATTTTAAGACCCAATGACTATACAATGTATAAATCCATCAACAAGTGAACAACAATGCGATGTGGGCCCAATAAATTCCCAGTGGTGAAAAAAACACCCACATCCGGGCACGACAAACGTCGCCACGACAAAACAAGGCACAGCCGAAACATCATTCATCGAGATCTGAAACTGGAGAATGTCTTGATTTCGGACAAACACCGCGAGGCGCGCGTTTGAGTTCCATGAAGGATCAGTTCATTTGGCTGCGAAGAAGATGGCATGTATGCATATAAGGAATAGGGAATGATACAACATGATATAAATATTATATATATATATAATAGATATATACGTGTAAATATATATATATATTTACACATAGATAGATAAATAGATAGATAGATAGATATAATTTGTTGATCATTCATTTGAAAATGGGAAAAACGATCATATACAGTCCAGTTGTTTACCATGTTCACCAAAATGCCATTCTTATGGGGTAAAGATCTTTGAAAACCCCGTGTGATTCGATCAACTGGCGAGACATTGAGGTCAGAACTGGACGCCAGTCATGTTTAGAATGGTAGATTTAAGGAACAATAGTATGTTGGTATAATTGGGATATACCGATATATACCGTTTAATGTCAATCTGTCAATCATTAATACGGGTGTGTCTGAAAATGTCGTGTACCCCTTTCTACCCAATGGTTTTGCTGATCATTATCCCTATGAAATAGCTATAATTAATTGGGAATATACACTATTTTCAGACAAACCCATATGGGTATGGGTCAATACCTATTAATACCATTTTTAGTGGGATGAACATCCATAAATCCCAGCTCTTTTGGGGTTCACTAGGTACCAGGGTTTTGACCCATCCCCATATGAATGAAGAATTGCTTGATACCCCACAGGAACCCTGGCAATCAATCAATGGCTGGAAAATCCCAGCCCACGTGACGGGCCCGGAGGGTGTATGTGAATCCAGGTTTTCCAACTGGAGGGCACCACGGATGGTACCAGATCAGCCTCTGGTTATTTAAAGGTTTAGTATGGAAATCACCAAATCACCATTTTCAATAGCTAAATCATCATATTTATTATGTTTTTCTCTATAAATAAATAAATAATATATATATATATGTACAAATATTCGGCCGTGGTTTCAAAAGCTATGTTAAATAACCATAGGCTATTCTTTTGCCATGGGGACATTTCAGCTTCGGAGTTTCCCAAGACAGACCATGGGACCTAACATTTTGTTGGTCATATATCGCATTGAATATCCCTACATTATATTGCCCTACGTATATATATATATATAACATAGTTGTATATATATAAAACATCATTGTATATATATATATACAATATAATCTAAAATATCATTATGTATATACATCCCCTGAATATTATCCCCATTGAATATCCCATACTCCGCATCATGTGCCATGGTCAATATTTGTATTATCGTTATTATAAATTACCTTAATCCGTGTTGTTGATGCTCAAATCCCATTATTATCCAATCACACGTGCAATTCTATCAGAATAGATCACAATGTCATTTATCCATATAATAGATATATACACACATATTACATGATGCGTATCATTGGAATGGTGAAATGCAGGGAAAACTGACGATGTACAACGTGAAGATCAGCGACTTTGGGTTGTCGGGGACCCAGAGGGAACCTTCAGGTGTTTTTTTTTCATGGAAATCCCTGAGAGAATGGTGATTCTATGAGAACACATAGTAAAATGGAGAGTAAATGGAGATATGCTGATTAAATGGTGATTACAAAACTCAGCTAACATGGCCGTCCATGGCCGTCCATGGCCGTCCCAAACAAGTTTTTTTCGTGTCGATCTTTGGTTTCAACCCTGGATTCACCAATTTTTATGTGGTAAACTTTTTTGGGGAATTGATGTGGAGGCATTTCATTACGGTAGCGACATTTTAAATGTGGAGGGCGGACCAGACCACAAGGCCCCGGAAGAAGTATGAAACACCAGTTCCATCCGCAATATTCAAATGTATATTTAAGCAAATTGAATTCCGTATGTTTCAATGGCTGGGCAGGCCAAGGAAAACCTTTCCGGAGGTCGTCTTAAATACATGTTCGTATATTTACAAATCCGTATATTTAAATGTAGTTTCCTACTTGCGGGCATCCCTGACCCAGCCAAAGGGAAAGATGGGAAGGCAAAGGCAAGATTGGGGTGAACAGTCACTAAACACTTTGGTGGATGCGAAGGATATCCCGAAACTATGCACATCCCAGCTCTGAAGTTCATGAACAAAGGTCAATTTTTTTCCCTCACTATTGGCGTGCACCAATTGTCATTGTTTCGAACTCCATTCATTCCAGAGATCTCTATGTATAAATATATTTATATGTGTTATTATGGTGTTTGTTTTTTTGTTGTTTTCATATAACAATCACAAATTGGTTAAAAAACGGAAAACACATCTGACCTGTGTTGTACTCAAGAACTTGAACAACAAAGGATTATGTTATGATTATGTTCATACATAAATGATTTATACAGTATATATATATATGTATTGAGCATGTATGCAGTCACATAGTATACTAGTTTTGGGGTCTATCTCATATTAACAACTGCAACAACGGTTGGTTTTAAATGTCAGTATATATTCTGACGACTAATAGGGTTATCAAGAATCATATTACTTAATCTATATATTATATATATATACTATTCATTTATAGTAACCCAATGTATTAATCCTTATATAAGACTACTATTGAAAAAACACAATAGCAAACATCAATATATATATATATATATATAAATAAACAATGTTAACAGAACAATGGCCATGTTCACAGAACAGCCATGTTCATCATATGTATATATATATATAGCCGTACATATCCTGTAAAAAAGAACTTCAAACAAACCTTCGGAAAAAAAACAGAACTTCAACCAACAGCAACCATACATAACCCAAAACAATAGAAGAACTTCAAACAAAACAACTAAACATAACCTTAAAACAAATAGCATTAAACAACAAAAACATCAGATCCACAGCTGCTGTTTTTCGGAGCCAGGTCCAAGGCTGTCACGGGCGTCCCCGAGATGCACTCGGTGGTGGGCACCCAGCGCTACGTGGCCCCTGAAGTGCTCTCCGTTGTGTCGGCGACGACGGGCGGCCAGCCCTACGACTTCCGGGTGGTGCCTGAGACGACCGGGTGTGGTTTGACTAAAATGACTGGTACATGACATTCAACTCAGAAAACTAGACTGTTTTTATGACTTTCCATTCAGTTGGGAATGTCATCATCCCAACTGACGAACTCCATTTTTCAGAGGGGTAGGTATACCACCAGCCAGATTATTATTAACCATCATTAACCATATATTAACCATCATGTTAACCATCATATTAACCATTATTAACAGTAGATACCACCAACCAGTACTGTTTATCTATGTTTGATGTTTTTTTGATTGCGAGATCAGGAGGAGCAAGTGCTTTTCCACAGCCCAGGACCTTTGGAGCCTCGGCGTCCTGACCTTTCTGTTGCTGACGGGGGGCTACCCCAACCCCGAGCAGCTGGGATCAACGGGTGTCGTGGATCCTCTGATTTACGGGTCAACGTTTAGGGGAAAGCCACGGTTTCCCGAAAACGATCTACAACTGGTGGGTTCTCCACATCTAGTCTATGTTGCTTTACAGGAGGCTAAACCATGGGTTTGTGGACCTCGTGAATTTGAAGACTGACTTGTATGAATTTTAACCAACGAAAGATGCGGATTTAACATGATTTAATTCATATAACACACACACTATATATATATATGAATGGATAGTGCAATTTTCAAGACGTTACTGTCATCGTCTAATTAAAGTGTAGAAGCGGCACGCTTACCAACACATACAAGTGGTTGGCAGAACATATTGGTGTATACGTTTATAGCCACAAAATAGAACGAACACATGGATCATGGATCCCTATGGAGACCTGAAGTGAGAATCATCTACAGCATGCTATATCATTGATCGATATAGTCTTTGTTGAAGCATATCGGAGCATTTATGTTCTGGGAATGTTTTGAGGATATGGAATGTACATCTACGGATGTTTGAGTACAATATATGGTTATATATATAGAACAACACTAAGGTTACGTAATGGGGATGCCAACCTCCAATACTGCCAATGTTTCACCCATGCACATTTGTTCCAGCCAGAGAATGGGAACTTCCCGAAGAAAACTCCGGAAGTCTCAACAGCCACAAATGGAGATGGAATAGAAATAGATCAGTACCAAGAACTATGCAAAGACAGAGATACCAAGATCGATCTAAACAAAGGCCCCCCCTGAACCTTGAAAAAATCCATTGAAATCGATAGGCCTGATTCCAAATTAGCTATCAGCTATTGATAATTCGGAACCCCAATCAACTATTGCTCATCACAATATGGTGCTGGCTGTTACTCGAATCCTCACAACCACAGCCCCCTGAAAGCTGACCGATCACGTGGATGATTTCCCGGGGGTCATGGAAAAAGGAACCTGCAGCAGAAACCATCTGAATATCATAGCCAGATGCTCCATTTACGTCGCTCTCTATGGCATATTCTCAACATTTACCAACATTTACCTCTAAGACATCGCGCAGTAAACTTAGGCAAACATAGGTAAATATACATACTATACAGGGAGCATGGCTCACACATGCAAACACATGTGCCCCCCAGATATACAGTGCTGTATAACCATTTATAGATATAATCCCTTCACCCTAATATTAAACGTCCCCCACTCCCCCAAATAATAAAACCTAGGGTTAGTTTTTATCGTCAGGGGGTATTTAATATTCGGGGAGAAGCTGGTTCCTAATATTAAAATAAAAACCTCACCCAAGGCTTCCTCGACCAAGTTTGACTTGGTCTTTAGTAACGACCAGATTTAACTTGGTCTTTGGAAGATGCCTCTGGATGTGGCGATAGATAGCCATATAATGCCATATACATACATACATACATACATACATACATACATTCATACATACATACATACATACATACATACATACACACATACATACATACATACATACATATATATATATATATGCGTTGTCGACAGGGGCTCGCCTGCCCCCCACCGTGCCACAAGTTGAGATGCAATGGCCCAATAGATTTAATGAGTAGCCACTTGCTCTTATTACAGTAGATGCGCCTCAAAAGTGCATGGGAGCAAGGGCTCTGCCATGTGTTGCTATTTGCTTCACTCCCATGTAGCGATCCAGGATTATTAGCATGTCAGGATTGCGTACAATATCCGGATGGGTATCATCAGGAGATTTTACCGAATCCAAACAAGTCTGGAGTGTGAAAAGCCCATGAAACGAAGGTGAAAAAAACGTAAAACGACCGTGAAAAACTTGTGAACAGCCACCAAAACCTTGGGCCCAAGTTTGGGAGAAAAAAATGAGCAGATCGACGGGTTTTCCTGGGATGGTCTGGATTTGCTTCCAGCACATGGCCTCCCAGATTTAAAAGTGATTGGCCTGCTCATAGCTCAAAACTCCATGTTGGGGCCAATCATAGGGATGCAGTCAGCTTTAACAACGGTGTTGCTGAGGCTGTGAATATATCATATTTGGTAACTGGTAACTAAGCCGAAAGTACATTTATTATTCCCAGGACCCCAGGATCTACATAAAGTTTAACTTGGTCTTTGGAAGATCTGGGTTAATTAAAAAAACTAAAATGTTTGATTTCAAGAACAATTAGGCTATTTAAAAATCTATATGTTGCCAAAAATTGGATTTCGAAGCTTTCCCCTAATCTTAGATTAAACACCTTAATAAAAAGGGAATATTTTTTATTTCAAAATCGACTAAATTCCCTTTTAAAATCTAACTGAAATATTGCGAAACATTGGATTTTGAAGCTTTCCCCTAATATTAAATCTAAAACCTCATAACAAAAAAAACTAACATTTTCGATTTCAAAATCGATTAATTTCCTGTTTAAAATCTATATAAAATATTGCCAAACATTGGATTTCGATGCTTTCCCTCAATATTAAAGCTAAAACCTTAATTAAAAAAACTAAAATGTTCGATTTCAACATCAAATAAATTCCTGTTTAAAATCTAATTGAAAAAATATATTGCCAAAAATTCGATTTTGAAGCTTTCCTCCAATATAAAATTACTTTACTTCGTGTGATCCCCACCGTGACATTTTTACATTTTCTTACTGGCAAATCTTCTGGCATTCTATCTGACATATCTTCTGGCATTCTATCTGGCAAATCTTCTGGCATTCTATCTGGCATATCTTCTGGCATTCTATCTTACATATCTTCTGGCATTCTATCTGGCATATCTTCTGGCATATATTTTGACATATCTTCTGGCATTCTATCTGGTATATCTTCTGGTATATCTTCTGGCATATCTTCTAGCATATCTTCTGGCATTCTATCTGGCATATCTTCTGGCATATCTTCTGGCATATTATCTGGCAAATCTTCTGGGATTCTATCTGGCATATCTTCTGATATATGTTCTGGCATATCTTCTGGCATTTTATCTGGTATATCTTCTGGCATATTATCTGGCAAATCTTCTGGGATTCTATCTGGCATATCTTGTGTCATTCTATCTGATATTTTATCTGGCATACCTTCTGGCATTCTATCTGGCATATCTCATGGCATTTTATCTGGCATATCTTCTGGCATTCTATCTGACATTCCATCTGGCATATCTTCTGGCATTCTATCTGGCATATCTCATGAGGTCCGGCAGGGAACACTTGGCGTGGATACTCGCGGTTGAGGTCCGGCAGGGAACACTTGGCATGGATACTCGCGGTTGAGGTCCGGCAGGGAACACTGGGCGTGGATGGCCGTGGTTGAGGTCCGGCAGGGACCACTGGGCGTGGATGGCCGTGGTTGAGGTCCGGCAGGGAACACTGGGCGTGGATGGTCGTGGTTGAGGTCCGGCAGGGCACACTGGGCGTGGATGGTCGTGGTTGAGGTCCGACAGAGAACACTGTGGATCGCGGGTCGCAGTTGGACGAGGAGGACGACGAGGAGGACGACGAGGAGGAGGACGACGAGGAGGAGGAGGAGAGGAGGAGGAGATGAGGAGGAGAGGAGGAGAGGAGGAGCAGGCAACTGACATAAAATCTAACAACCCTCACCTGGCAGGTGGGGAATTAAAAACATTAATAAATAATAATAATAATAACAAAAACTAACATTTCGATTTCAAAATCGATTCAATTCCTGTTTAAAATCTATATAAAATGTTGCCAGACGTTGGATTTCGATATTAAATCTAAAACCTTATTTTTTATTAAAAAAATAACATTTCCGATTTCAAAATCGATTAAATTCCCCTTTAAAATCTATATAAAATATTGCCAAACATTGGATTTCGAAGCTTTCCCCTAATATCAAATTTAAAACCTGAAGTAAAACAGCTGCAATTTTCGATTTTAACACACGGACCCTTATAAAAAATACCACCCCGGGGCTAACTAGTTTTAATTTTTCAGGGGGTAGAACCTTCAAATGGACCTTGATGTTTAAGCTGTTTTCTAAAGGGGATCAATTAAAAGTCAAACTGACCAGTCTGAAATTTCCCAAAACAAATAATCGGGGGTAGTTTTTTTTCATTTAGGGGAGATTCAGTAATAGGGAGAAGGGATTATCTTATATCTCCTAACTGAACAGCTACTGCAAGGTGGTGTTCCCCAGATATTTGGATTAACCATATAGTAGCTCGTCAACTAGTTGGATATATATATATATATATATATACATTTATGGCACCCCCCCAAAAGTCTACCATTTTAAGCTTCATAAGATTGGACTGGGGGTGCCATATATAAATACATTGTAAATAGGCCTTTAAAAACTGCCTGTAAAAGCCTTGCTTGATCTGTGAAGTTCAGACTTGATGTTCAGACTTGAGTTCAGGCTTGGGAATCTTCAATCCCAGATTGAAGATTGAAGATTGAAGATTTTCCAGGACTCTCCCTAGAGAATCTTCAATCCCGGATTGAAGATTGAAGATTGAAGATTTTCCAGGACTCTCCCTGGAGAATCTTCAATCCCGGATTGAAGATTGAAGATTTTCCAGGACTCTCCCTAGAGAATCTTCAATCCCGGATTGAAGATTGAAGATTGAAGATTGAAGATTTTCCAGGACTCTCCCTGGAGAATCTTCAATCCCGGATTGAAGATTGAAGATTTTCTCCTGGATTAAAGATTCTCCAACAAGAGTCCCGAGGAATCTTCAATCTTCAATCTTCAATTCAGGATTAAAGATTCTCCAACAAGAGTCCTGAGGAATCTTCAATCTTCAATCTTCAATCCAGGATTAAAGATTCTCCAACAAGACTCCTGGGGAATCTTCAATCTTCAATCTTCAATCCTGGATTGAAGATTCTCGAACAAGGCTCCTGGGGAATCTTCAATCTTTAATCTTCAATCTTGGACCTCAAGTCTGAGGAGCTTTTGCACTTGAGGGATATGGTCAATCTTTGTCAAAGGCTTGCGTCTCCACCTTCACTCCACAGTTTGTAGCTCTCGGCCCGAAGCATTGCCACTCTGCCTCCAGTCAACATACAGGACAAGATCCAACCGTGTCACCTTGAAGGACAACCAGGCATTGGTAGTGTTGAATGTCGCCACCAACAACAACAAAGCGGAGGAGAGGCCAAGGTCCGACTTGGAAGCGCTGCTGAACAGAGCTTTGCGACAGGAGGTGCCGGTACACCCAACCCGGCTCCCACTCCTCCGCAAACACCTGGCGGCGATGGTCTGCAACGTCCAGAAGGGGCTCCACTTGGACCCCGTGGGCTTGCACGGTGCCTGGAATGCAGCTGCAGAACAAAGGCTGCTGGAGTGCTTGACAAAGCCAAAGAGGGTGGAAATTTATTAAGGAACGTTTGTCGAAAGGGACGAACGTTCGTGCTGGCATGGGCCGCTTGCAAGCCCAAATTCGTTCTGCCCTCATATATGAGTATTGGTACCGGGGGGACGACATGTGGGTGCGCACAGGAGAACTCCTGTCCGCTTACATGTCTGAGAGTGTGGTTCCTGCGTCTTGAACGCTTGTGCGCCAGGACATCACCGGTGAGAAAGAAATTGCTGCTATGCCGCCGGACATGTGCTTGATTCCTTCCTTCGTTGTGTGAGCTTCATTCCCAGTACTGGCTTGAAATTTATGCCTCCAGCTTGCCCATGATCATGCAAGTTTATTGAATGATGATTGAAGATTACAGCCCACCCATGACTTCAGAAGTTCTCACTTCTGGACTGATGACTGAAGTTTGCAGCCCACCCATGACTTCAGAAGTTCCCACTTCTGGACTGATGACTGAAGTTTGCAGCCCACCCATGACTTCAGAAGTTCCCACTTCTGGACTGATGACTGAAGTTTGCAGCCCACCCATGACTTCAGAAGTTCCTACTTCTGGACTGATGACTGAAGTTTGCAGCCCACCCATGCCTTCAGAAGTTCCCACTTCTGGACTGATGACTGAAGTTTGCAGCCCACCCATGACTTCAGAAGTTCCTACTTCTGGACTGATGACTGAAGTTTGCAGCCCACCCATGACTTCAGAATTTTCCATGTGTGGACTGATGACAAAATATTATCACCACTCTAGTACAGCTGGAATCTTGAGACCCTTCCAAACTCACAAAAAAGGTAGACTTTTCAGGGGGGGGTAGCATATTTATTTATTTGTTTATTTATTTATGTTTTTTTATTTATTTGTATATATTTATATATACACATGTCTACCAGCCAACAGATATTGGGGCACCTCATAGAGTTGACATGTCGCTTCCCAGCTGTCCAGGTCGCAGTTTGCCTTGGACGATGCAGTTTGTAAGATTTCAAGCGAAGCTGCACGACTGATTTTGAAGGCGGGCCATGGTGCCAGCCTTGGTAATGACAATCTCAGCATGTTCTATGCCACAATTCATTTGGGGTATCTGGGTATCCTAAGTATGTTTAAGTTAAATCATCTTAAATCAGGTTAAATCATGTTTAATTGATTGACCAATGGCTCCTCTAAATGACCTGAAAAGGAGTGGTTTTAGATTTCCGCAGCCCAATCTTTTTGTTGCTGAGAAAATCTTCCAAAATGGCAAGTTTTTCATAGGGGAAATCGCCACAAATGATTGGACTCCGTTGGATTTTGTACTCAACCAGCCTTTCAAGCGGCTTTCGTGGGCCCGACGGCTCCATGAAATGTTTGAGCGTCCGAGATCAATCAGGGACCGATGACGCCGCACATCAGAGACGGTCCCCTCAGAGGAACTACCCATGGATGGTAGATTTCGACACGCCTCACAGAGGATGTTCCAATGGCGAAGCCCTACTGTAGCCCCTGGCCCTGGGTTTGCCATGGCCAACTTCGTGGTCCAATCCTGGGTCAGACTTGCAAGACATAGGGGGGCCTATCTCAAATCATGGAATCTCTGGTGTACCAAGGTCTCACTGATGATTATGTGATATGAATTTATATTGTGTTTATTAAATGCTGATTAATGAAGGAAAGATAGTCTACAAGTGTCAAAACATGTGCATGTAAACTTAGTGTGCCCTCCCGAAGCAGGTACACTATCACATGATTCCTATATTTGTTTGAATGAATGATTGCAGTTTAGTGATTTATGTAGTATGTGTATCAGACAAATAATCATATCATGACACCATTTAAATCACAGTACCACTATACATATACCGGGTGTTCCTCTGGTAATTGCAAAGTTAGTATACAAACTTATTTTGCCATATTATACCACTATGGATATGTCATCATATTATTGGTCACATTTACCATAATAGCCCCACTACGGTGCTTGTCAAATGTTCTAAACCCCATGTTTCTTAATTTATTGATGAACTCCCTACACATTCACCATAAGTACGTACAATCATCCCGAAGTAGAAAGACTATGGACTTGATGGAATGTTTATTTCGATATGTCCATTTCAGTGGGGAGTTTGGTACAGTTACGTATTGTCAACTTCTCCAGGATGACAAAAGATATGAGTAACCTACAAAATTACAGTTGACAAAAGATATGAGTAACCGAAAAAATAACAGTAGCTGAAAACTAAAGTAGTAAGGAGTGGACTTGCGATGTTCAAATTTGTGTTAAAATCTTCACAACCGATGGGACCACCCACTTACGGATACCTTATTTCTACACATAGCATGGAAGTACAAACCTTCACAACGGATAGGGGACCAACCACTTTGGCCATGTCCATTGCGAGTAGCAAGTAATTTTGTCCGCCACTCATATACATCTTGTACCATCTTGTACCCTCCTGTAATCAAAACCCATTTAGTTCGATGATTTTCCCACTACAAACCTCAATTTAGTTCGAGGATTCTCCAGCTAGCCACGGTTGATGACACCAACGGATATCAACCAACCTTCCATCAATATTCCATGATATCCCAGTCATATCCCATTGATCTTCCATCTTCCATTGAGTTTCCGTGAATATCTGATTGGTGGTTTGGAACATTTGGATTAATTTTCCATTCAGTTGGGAATGTCATCATCCCAACTGACGAACTCCATCATTTTTCAGAGGGGTAGGTATACCACCAACCAGATTATTATTAACCATCATTAACCATATAATAACAATATATAAACCATCATTAACAGTATATTAACCACCAACCATGGTATACCACCAACCAGTATGTGAATCTCGCATTTTACTTGGCGGCTTCTCCCACCAATTGTAAGTAGATGAACCACCAATTCATGGGATGAGCCAGGGCCTGCTACAGCTGGATCCGGTACAGAGATCCTTGGAAAAGAACGAACATGTGGGAGGCATCGATATGGAGTCTCTGGGATTTTTTTTTAAATAGCTATGGTAGATTATGGTATAATTAATTTAAATATAAAAATTGAATTTTTTATGGGATCTATGATATGGAATTATTCTATTATATGGATTGTATGGATCGTATTAGTATGTTGGATTCTCATTATTTACTAAATGGATTAAGACATGTGGATTGTTATTAAATTATGGGATTATTATACATGGGATTAAAGTACATTGGATGTGCTGATATATTAATGTACAATATATATTTTTTGGATTACATATTACGTTATATATCCCATCAATGGAACTATTTTAATATATAATGAGAATCCAGAATATGCGATTACAATTTTCATATAACATAATTACTTTATGGATTATATGGAATGATGTGGATTATATATAGTTCATGGAACCTTTATATACACTAAATGGGATTATATAAAACTATATGGATAAAACTGCATATGTATATATATATATGTACAGTACATATACTTGCCTTTAAACCCCATATCATTGTATATTATATATACACATATTATCTGTGGATTTCATCACATGATCCCAGGATTTACGCTGCAAGACCTTCAGTCCCGCAGTTGGCAGACGGGCGATGAGGCGACGCTGGTGCCCCTAAAAATCCAAGGAAGATGAGAAGTTCATGAACAAACGTGGTGATATATTTAGGATATCATTGGGATAGAACAAACATGATTTTCTATTGGGATATGATAGGGATATCATTGGGATATATTTGGGATATATCATTCGGATATAATTGGGATATATCATTCGGATATAATTGGGGTATATCATTGGGATATCATGGGAATATCATTCGGATATAATTGGGATATATCATTGGGATGTAATTGGGATATATCATTGGGATATCATGGGAATATCATTGGGATATAATTGGGATATATCATTGGGATATCATGGGAATATCATTGGGATATAATTGGGATATATCATTGGGGTATCATGGGAAAATCATTGGGACATATTTGGGATATATCATTGGGATATCATGGGAATATCATTCGGATATAATTGGGATATATCATTGGGATATAATTGGGATATATTATTGGAATATCATGGGAATATCATTGAATATTGGGTAATTGGGATATACGTAGGGTATAGTAGACTGGCGAATTAACATAGACCCGGAAAAGAGCCTAGTTTTAATGGAAACTATTCTTCCGACCCCTATCTGCCAGGGTCTATGTTAATTTACCAGAGGGTAATTGGGAGATCACGGGAATTTAAGAGCTAATAGAAGATCCATGGACGACTCATGAGACATTAATGATTATTCACGGGATATCTATGGCAATGGATTTACCGTCCGTTAATAAAACGTTGCAGGCTGGAAAATCCACTTGAAATCCAGGATTTACAGTATACAGCAGGAAATCCATCTACAGTCACATTTGATTACCAGAGGGTATATATATATATATTATATATATATTTACAATCGGGACATCCTACAAATCATGGCAATAAAAAAAGGTAATTCAATGGGTATACAACGGGATGTGTCCAACTTTTCCATTGGTTGATCTATGGGTGTACCAAACCCGACTGTCTATTTTATCAACAGGACATGATTGATGCATTGATGCAAATTGTATAGTGTTGGTGTCATACCCACATGTTTAATAACAGAACAATTGTATTTCATACCCACATATGATGCCATATGTTATTACCAACATATAATGGTGTTTTTTTGTTTAATAACATATGGCACCATATGTGGACATGGCTAGCATTGTTGCTGCAACTCACAAAAAAAAACAAACTTGAATCCAGTGGGAAAATTTAATGTTACGGACGCATGCTCCACATATATATCCAAATACAGACGGCAATATAGGGGTAAAAAATGTGCAAATCCAAGTAGTTGTCGGCATGCGGCTGCATATATATATATATGTATAGATAGACAAATACATACATATATATATATAGGTATGTATTGGTATGGCTAGTAATGTGTTTTTATTTCTTTGGTTTTTCCAAGTCATTGGGTAAATGGAGTATGTTTTGTAGCAAATTTATGGCATTAGGTTTGTCACACATGAAGTTCCAGATCAATTTTATTATTCACCCTCAACATTTGGCTGGTTTTCAGATCCTAGCAGCAGGGAAATCCCTTGTTTTCTAAGCTAAATGATCGACGAATGCGTCATTTTCCATTTTCCTCTACCACGGTGCACAATCAAACTGAGAGTTGGTTGATTTGGCTAGGTGTGGCTGGGTCATGTTCATGGGCACTTGAACACTTGCAGGGCGATGATGATGATCCTTCAATCATCCAGGTTTTTCAATTCATTCATTGGGGCCCTTGTAGCAGGATGTATGCCGTACTGTTCTCAGAGGTATCATGATCAACCCCATGATCACAGTAATCTATGCGAGTTGTTTTCACAGCTTGCATATATATATATATAGTTATTTATAATTATATATAAATATATATACTATACAATCATGAAATATTGCAAACATCAACACTTATATGTATATACATATATTTATATATATATAAACATATATATGCATATGTACATGTAATAATATTTGGATGATTTTTGATAGATATGTGATATGTAGATAGGTAGGGAAATAGGCAAGTAGATGGGCAGGTAGATAGATAGCTAGGCAGATAGCTAAATAGCTAGCTAGATAGGTACACACATATATGTACATATATATATACATATATATATACATATAGCTTGTGGAATTGTTCATTCCTGATTTTTCATCATATACTCAACAGAGCGTTTGAGTCTGGGCAATTTATGTATATTTATTTGCCAACTATATCACAAACTGATGACCCTATTGTTGTGATGATGATTTCAATTTTGCTATTATGTACCACCATTTTTTTATGTCATTGTTCTTGATCGTGTCATGATATTCAAAAATGTTATGATATCCTGGTTTGTTGTTTCTTATATATATATATACATCTACCAAAAAATGTTTTGGTGGTTATCCCAGAGCTATGATTTCCTCTCCCAGGAAATCATCATCAAGGAAGGATCGAATCCCTACGGATCCATGTCCTTCACGAGAAGGGAGAGGCCCCAAAATCATACCCCGAAAAAAACTCCGTCAGAAGAAATTCTTGGATCCATAGGGAATGATATTAAGCAGCCTGATTACTGTGACTCTTAATTTTCTGATAATTTGGATAGCTTATGAATATATTATTCATTATCAGCTTATCAGCAGGGTACTAAGCATTATGAACCAACCACAATTCACCATTATTAACTCTCTATCTATTTTCACTCACCATTCTTCCCCGATTATAGATAGTTATATAATGGTGAAAATAGATATATAAATATAGATAGTTCACCATTAACATCCATTAACCATTCACCAGCCCCGCTTTCCGCGCCAGGATGTGATCATGTTGCCTCCAACAACAACGGCTGCCGTCCTGGGCATGCCCTCTGCCGTGGGGATTCCCTCGGATTCGACGGTCTGCGCGGTGGCCTAGAGGAGTGACCAAAAAGTGGCTAGGAAGTGGCTTATAATGGCTTATATATACCTATACCCTCTGGTAATTTAACATAGCTATTGAAAATGGCCATTTATAGTGGATTTTCCCATTAAAAATGGTGGATCTTTCCATAGTTATGTTAGTTTACCAGAGGGTACATATGAAGTCATGCCAGATCCTTCGGGATATTTTTGTTGGTTCTGATATTGAGGTTTCCTGAAAATAGGGGTACCCCTAAATCATGCATTTTAGATTGGGATTTCCAATATTAAAACCATCCATTTTTTTGGGTAGCCCCACTTTGGGAAGCCTCCATATAGCATAGCTATGGAGAATCTGTATTTTTTGATTGGTAAGTTATCTATAATGGATAAATTTTGCATACCTATTGTATTGATAAAATTGTATATAATTTGCGGCTTATGTAAGTGGCCAAGTAAGTGGGATAGAAAAGTAGATGTGTTAAGACTCAGTTTTAAATGGATGTCAATTGGGATATATTGGAATATGCAACCAGCTATGCTGGTAATTTATCCCATGAAATATCCTGCAAGGTAAGGACTTCAATGTGAGGGAACTGGAATGATGGGAATTGGGTTGGGGTAACTATCCCAGAATGGCCTTCTCTTCTGGCAATTTAGTGAATTATTGTTTTTTTTTCCATGTAACCACTGGCAATTTAACATAGCTATTGAAACTGACCCACTTAGTTCGATGACTTGACGAAAAAAGAAATGGTGGTTTCCTATGAAAAAAATGCCATCCAACACTATCCAACTGGATCAATGTTTACAAAAATCCGATTGAACTTTCAACCGCCAAGCTTTGATTGACAAGGCTACAACAAAACTTAACTTGATGTTTTGCAATGCCTCACCAATGTGATGGCCCAGCTTCTTTTTGGTAGGTTGCCTGCCCACTATGTGTATATATATATATACTACACAGTATATATATATATATGTATACTTGTACATATTGCATACACGGTATGTATGTATATATATATATATATATATATACACACAGGGGATCGTATTTTTGCACAGGTTCAAACTGGTGAGCCCCGGCCTTTGCAGTTGCCCCGAGGCAGCGACTTTGAAGCTTTAGTGGCGCCACCCGCACCATTGCCGCTTGGAGCATATTACAAGATTATTGGATGCCAAATTCTACTTAGTTAGTGGTTTATGATCCATATATAACCCATCATATAATCCCATATAATATTTTTACATATATATATATATGTAAGTGGTGATATTCCATATATATATATATTTACATATCTATATGACACTCGTGGTATAACCCAGTATGGACAAGGAACTCTGGGTCTCTAGACTTTTTTCTCTTGGAATGTCTTGGACAAGACTCAACACGTTTTGCAACTTCATTCATGTTTTGAAAACTACACTGCCATAAACCATTCCGATTCCCAACTATAGATATGGCTTCTATAGGCCATTCCCAGTTATGGTAGTTGTTTATGGCAGCCAGGCTTGCCCACACCCGTTGATCCCGAGTGTTGTGCTGCGGTGCTATGGATTTGTCAACATGGGGCTATCTGTGGCTGTACAAGATTCTAAGACACACCCAACGACTGGTTACTAGCATGTATGTATATATATATCCCATATTTGTACCCATCAATCATTTCCCCTTATCCCGACCTGTATACTATATCCACAAATTACATCTGGTTACATCATGTTAAATCATCATTTATTTACACTTATGGCCCTTTTACCAGTGATAAGTTGTCACACCATTTATGGACTGTATAACAATTTGCCATAGAAAATGCTGGTTTCTACGGCTTTAATTGGTGAAGTGTTGCTTATCCCCACAAAGAGACGCCAAAAAACAAGTCACACCTCGCAGCGCCAGGCAGTCCCTGAACGATCCCTCCATCCTGTCGGGTCTTCGTGTGGCCGCTGGGCGTTGCGATAGGATCCGGTGGATGACATCCTATGAGATGATTTGGGGGTAGGGTACCCCCATGGGGCTCGGCGTCAAAGGTGGCTGGAATCCATTCATTTAACATATAAATTCTGTAAATGTTGGATTTCCAAAAATGCCACCTTTGATTACCAGAGGGTAGATGGGAATATATTGGAATATTGACTAGATAGGTAGATAGATTTCTGAATATTGTTTTTTTCCGGGAATATTGGGAAGATATGGAAACATATGGGCCGTGATTCCATTGAGTCCAATCTATAGTTGGTATGGAAAACAATCCGGGTCAGAGGTGATTCCACCCCATCAGTCCCGGGGTTCCCGGGGTCCAGGGTCAAAGTCGATGTTCAGGCTCTCATGAGATAAAGCATGACTCATGTTTTTTTGTTAGCACTCTATTATATGATATATACGTGTATGTATATATATATATATATACATACGTGTATGTATGAAAATATGATAGTGCATTGTGCGTATGGTATTACCATGCATATATCATATTCCACATATGATGCATGTAGGATACATGTATCATACATATCTGTGAATGTATGGTACATATATCATACATGTTTTATAGCATGTATCACTATATATTCTATCATACTATGTTATTCCGTACTCTTCTATGATTAGGATATGATATTCGTATCATGGTTTAGTTTAGGCTGTGCATATGTGTTTCTATCATTTCATATTTACATAAATATATGTTGTATACCCTTTGGTTATTGAACATAGCAATGGAACATGGCCCATAGAAATAGATGTTGTTGTTTGATGATTTGCCTTTAAAAAAAGGTGATTCTCCAGTTCGCTACGTTAAATCACCTGTTGGAGACCTCCAGGAACCGGAACCGGAACCGGGACAGCAGAGGATGCCCAGCATTCTGCCCACCATGAGTTTTCTGGCAGGCGCGGTCACCGGGTACTGGGGAAAATAGGAAAATTGATATTTTCATATATTTCAGTGGCTATAAAAGTGGCCATTTCTGATCATTTAGCGTGGTATTCCCTATTTCCAGACACACCCGAATGGATTTGATGTAGATCTTGGGATGCTCTTGTTATACATGTTTCTTGTTTGTTGGGATGCTTACAAGTTTCCGTACCTGCGGAACTTAACAGGGTCTTGTAGCCAAAAACATGGCCCACTAATCAAGTAGTTTGAGCCATCATGAACAGATACTGTACTTGCTATTCTTTGGTTTGAAACCACCATCCAATCCACGTGATAATCATCGTCTCACGACCACCTCACTATAAATGATTGTTTTTAAAAGGGGAAATCGGGAAATCCCCCAAAAATCATCTGATTTCAGCCAGATCGGCGAGGCCCAGGCTCCCCATTTTCACCCATTTTATCGTCGAGGCATGGAGGAAGAACTCCGTCGCCCGCGGCCGGTGCCACCTGCGCCACCTCCGGCCACACCCAGCCCCCACGGTTCGGAGCTGCTGCTTTCGGTGAGCGAGGAGCAGTTGCGGCTCGACGGCACGGTGGAGCCGCAGGTTGTCGGATTTGACCAGCAGAATTCTCTTGATCCATGAAGGTCTAGATACACCAACCCTTATGGATGATCCAGGAATTGGAGAGTTCTAGGTCTGCAGGGGAAATGGTTCTTTTAGCAACATACATCTACACGTAGATCCACAAGAATGATCAAGAATTGTGATTTTCATGGTGATAATGTCATGATCAATTACCATAATATGCCAAACAAAAAGAGACCTGTTTTTTTTGTCGGTTTGCCACATTGCAACCTGCTACAGGTTATCAGGGTGGGTTGATATTTCCTTGCTACAGGCAGCTACACATTGCACCATTTTGGAGGACAATCTAGTCAATATGCCCGAAAACATGTGGATTTACTATCCAACAATGTAACGCAGAATCCTGTAAGACCCTTGAAATTAGCCATTCTAGTTTGAACAGTAGTCTTCCAATCTTCATGTTTGACATGTTCCAATATTAGTTGGGCGAATCTTAGTTGAAACCCAACACAAAAAAATTAGGATTATCATATCAATAATTGAGGATGTACATGTTTGTTTTGAGGGCATTCACTATTTTCGGGCACGCCCGCATTATCTTCAGAAACTCTGGAAATCTAACGCGCTTCCCAATGCCGCTTGGTGCTGCAACAGGCCAAATTGCTGCTTGGTCCCGATGGAACCTGCAGCGACTAAGGAACGGATGTGGGACGGATCAACAGACGATCCAGACGCCATTGAGTTGTGGATATATGTGTACAAACTACAGTGTCTATGTAAAAGACATGTTGTCTAGATGTTCAATATAGTATGTATATGTTTTGTTTTTATATATACACTGTACTATTATAATCTATTATATACCTTCCTATATATGCATGTGTATGTCGTATGTATGTATATATATATACACACCATTCCACAATTGAAGTTCTTGTCAAAGAATTAAGCAGTGATTCGGAAGTGTGAACATCGGCTTTGCGTAGACAATGTTGATTGATTCATTCATTCAAACCCAAATGTCATGTGTTTGTACTTCTCAGCAAACAGTTTAACAGCTGCCACGGTAGAAAAGCTGCTCAGAAGATCTCATAAGTGGATAAGTCAAAGGCGTTGGTTGGGTTAGAACTTTGACATCTAAAGCTGCCATGTTCTCTACCCAAAGGGCATTGAAGATGCTGATCCCTCAACATGAGTGTTGTATGGGCTTCCATACTTTTGGACGTTCAACGATTACCCTTCGGTGTCATCAAACATGGCTAGCGAGGAAATCGACGAACTAAGTGGACATTAAGTGGGAAGTAAATCGACATAATATATTTAATATATTAAGGGAGGTACATATCAATTTGGATCATTTCTTTTTTAGGGCTTCGGTTTTTTTGCATGTTTCCCTGCAACCCTCAAGGCAAAATCTGACGGGAGAACTGTCAGACATGGAAGATCCTCAAGTATCGAAAGCCAATTCTTCGAATACTTCGCGGTCACATCTAGGCGTATCAGAACGCCCATTTGAGTGCTTGACTTTGAGTTTAGGGGTGTTGGGTACGTGGGTCCCAACAAGATGAAACTGTTGATGCGGAGAAATGCTGCACCCTCTCAGTCACTTTATTTGGGGCAAAACGACTCAATGAAGCAGGATTTCTTCCATTTGCAGTGTTATCGAAGGGTGGATATGCGGAGGCTGCGGAGGTGTCAACCAAAAACAACGGGAATTTGATATGTTTTGATAAAGTTTATAGATATGTTTAGATTGTAAGTTTTATTCAAGCTTCGCAACGGCTGTCGATGGCTCCCCCCAGCCGCGGAGCTCTCCAAGGGTTGTTCATTCAGCTTGTTTTCTGAGCGGGGGTGGAGGAGGGACGGCTGGGGGGGCTAGGTTGGGCATGGATTGGGCATAATTTGGACCAATCACATAGCCGATGTTAGTGGATATAGTCGGTAGACTTTAGTATAGATGTTAGTAGAGAGTCTCCCAACCATTTTGTTTTGGTTGTTCTTGCTATCAGTGCTTCGAATGGCAGCAAATTATATCCTATTGTGTAATGATTGTTGGCTTCCAAGTAAGGTATGGCCCGCAAGCCGATTGTTTCAGGTTTAACATGCAGCACCGTCAAGATACCAGTACCTGACACGTACCTAACTGCAGTGCCATGGTATGCCATGATGTCACACCACGATACCACCAGATCCAGATACATCAATGCATACATATTCCAATTATCTTCACGGATGGCTTTCCCATTCAACATAACAGTGGGTTTCCGATTCTCCATACCAAGAACTGTGGATTTCCTATCCATAGATATCCATATAGTACCTATGGACCCCCGAAAAATATTTAATGAATGTTCCTTTTTGTTCCAGTAACTATGGGTACTGTAACTAGATTAGGACCCCATTCCATAGTTACCATAGTTTCATAAAAATACCATCTTGTTCCATTATTAACATATATGTATATATGGTAATATGGACCGGTATCCATTAAAAATACCATATTGGAACCCGATCTCCAGCTCGCTGAATCGCCAGCTGTCGGCCGCCTCAGGTCCTCCCCCAGCTGGCAGCTGTCGCAGGCGCGCGCTGCCTCGGCGCGGGCCGATGAGATGCATCTGCACGTGCTGCTGCCGCGAGGTACACCGTGCGGAGTTTCCACGAATCAACGAAGAAAGACAAGCCTAAAATTGGCCTTAGGAAAACAAACCTTCTGGTATTGGGGCTCAACATGGCTCAACTATACATCTATACCGTTAAAAAAGTGTTTAAACAAAAGCAAATGAACCCAATATTTCCTAGTCTGATTGGTGGTTTGGAACATTTTTTATCCCAATAGTTGGGATGATGATCCGATCTGACTTTCATATTTTTCAGAGGGGTTGAAACCACCAACCAGCCTTAGTATACCTTAGGATACCTTAGTTATAGAGGATTTATTATACTATAAGTGTGGGGAATGCTGAGATGGAGGTGAATGGGACTGAACTAAATTTAAGCATCCGGGATTGAATGCAGTTATAGCCCTTTACTCGGTTACACTGGGATTGTTTCATGATATATAACCTTACTATACCTTAAGCTTACTTATAGAGGAGTTGTAATATTATAATATCATTTCTAAGTGGCTATAGGGCCATAACTGCTGTGGGGAATGAATGGTGAGATAATGGGGGATGAATGGGATTTAACTTCCTTTAGCCAACAGCATTAGGAATTTCATGTCGTATCATAAGGGTTTATCACCAGCAACGGGATGATGATGAAATATTGGACCTCGTCCCTGGTTCCATTTCACATGGTCCAGTTGAACTTTGCTGGAGGTTATGACCCACTGACTGGGGTGAACCAGCAAGTACCCTCTGGTAATTTAACATAGCTATTGAAAATCACCATTTATAGTGGATTTTCCCATTGAAAATGGTGATTTTCCATAGCTATGTTAGTTTACCAGAGGGTAGCTTTGCTTGTCATTCTTTGAGCTGTGGAACAATGCACGGATGCGCATGTTCCTCCTAATTATGCGGATTCGTGCGGTTCATTCTTATCTCGCAGAGGCCCCAACCTGCTTTAAGATGTTGTAGTGTCATGGTGCTACGTCGATGCATGTCGCCCATCCAATATGTTTTCCTTGGCATTCCCGTACGCTCCATGTATGGAACAACCCGGCAGGTGCTGCCGCCGATGATATTTCTGTGGTGGACGAATCAACACTGAAGGAATTGAGTGCGAAGTCGGGCTGCAATGACGCTTGGACGTTGGATAAACCTTCAATATGGCAAGTCGGTTTATAGCTTCGAGAACTAGGGCTTTATAGTAGATATTAATCATAACATACATGACACATATATATATAATCATATATTATGTGTATCTGTCATCATTGGGGGTTATCAACCAACAAACATAACTCGGTGGCATCCCAACAATCCAGACTGCTGTGTTCCTGCTGATGTTTTTTGATGTTCCCGCACCTTTTTCAAGTGACATGGAAGTGGTGTGTTTCCAGCTGATTGTTTAGACCCATTTGTTTGTTCAAATTCTATCAAATTCTAACTGGTATCAACCGGTCAAGTGGTTCTTTGGTTTTCAACAACGTGGGACCCAGGGGGCATGGTCCATCGGCATGGTCATGGTGAGTATGACGCATGGCATGACGCATCCATTGTCTGGGTGCCACCATCTCTCAGAACTAGTCATCAGAATACCACTTTTATCTGCATAAATAATGGATGGTTAAAATATGTTAAAACGATTGAAGGCCATCCGCTTTCCTTAGTCTCCATCAATTCATTGCTTCCATTAGATTTAATCAATATACAATTGCCTGATAGCCCAGTTCAGTATATCCCTATTCCTTTCAATGATTAGTGATGTGGAATGATTCTGAATTATTGTTTGGTTCGGGGCAATGCATTTCCATTGTTCTAATGGTCGGTGTATCATTTTTTCCTCAGGTGTCGGTCAGCTGTCCCGTTTGAGGGATTTTCAGCATCACTTGAAAAAAAGGATTTGTTGGAGATTACCATCTGGTTATTTAACATAGCCATGGAAAAATACCATTTTTAATAGGTAAACCTCTACAAATGGGCCATGTTCCATGGCTATGTTAAATAGCCAGAGGGTATATCCCCAATAGTTGGGTGATGTGAACAATGAGGACATTTACACGTACCGACCTTTGTTCCGAACGGTGGGAACGCTGAGCAAACAGGTGTGGACAACACCAGCGGAGGGGCCAAAAGACGCCTGCCACGTGGTGATGGTTGGCACTTGCAGCGCCCTTGGCTGCAAAGGAGCAGCAGAAACTGTGTAAATCTAGGGAGGTGCCATACAACTTATGGAAAACATAGATGTGATATGATATGATGATACCCTCTGGTAACTAGCATAGCTATGAATCACCATTTTTAATAGCTACTGAAATCAATGTGAGTGGCCATTTGATCCCCACTCGTTTAGTAGGAGAACCTTAGAACCATACGTAGTTGTAATCAAATTTGTGTTTTCGTCGTGCTTCGGTTGACGGCTCCATGCAGAAAAATAACAGCTACCCTGGTAATCAAACATAGCATCATAGCAATGGAAAATCCTCCAAATTTTCACATTTATATATGATGAAACATGATTAAACCACCAGTTTATGGGAGATTCCCCAGCCATGTTTGATGACACCAGCTGCGGAGAGTTTTTCATAGGTCAATGCACTGTGGCGCAGCAGATGCTGGCAGACTTCTTACACTCCAAGGTGGGGACCAATGAGCCAACAAGACACAGGGCTCTTGGTCAGAAATGATGGTTAATGCTACTTAATGTGTCATGTCTCATGTCATGGGAAATGGTGGTTCAATGATGGTTGATGGTAGTTGATGATGGTTGATGATGGTTGATGATGGTTCATGATGGTTGATGATGGTTGATGGGTATTGATGGGTCATGTTTGAAACGCCATTTTGATGGGAAACCTTTGACGCTAACCAGACATGAACTTCTGGAGTCTCAAGCAATGGAAAGGGCACGATAATCGGATGAGCGATCCTAAAGTCCCACAAGGGAAACTTTGCAAAAATCCCCTGACGACCATCCATAATCTATGATTACGGACAAGAATCCATGCTCCCTTTGGGTGAACAATTCGCGTGTTCACCAATTCAGTGATAGGATGTGTCAAAATCATTCAACATGTAGAATAATATAAATATATATATATATATCGATAAATCCGAAAAACAAGATGAAGCCCACGAACCCGAATGCTCACACGTATGTTAATGGCACAGATGTCAAAACACATGGATATGCACTGACGCACAACACTTTTCTGCAATAGTTTATTTGAACAGTCTTGTTCATATTTCCCCTGTTACCAGTCTGCAGTGTGGAGTGGAAAGTGTAGAGTGTGGAGTGTAAAGTGTGGAGTGTGGAGTGTAGCGTGTGGAGTGTCGAGTGTAGAGTGTGGAGTGAGGAGTGTAAAGTGCAAAGTGTGGAGTGTGAAGTGTAAAGTGAGGAGTGTGGAGTGAGGAGTGTGGAGTTTGTAAATTGTAGAGTGTGAAGTGTAGAGTGTAAAGTGTAGAGTGTAAAGTGAGGAGTGTGGAGTGTGGAGTGTAAAGTGTAGAGTGTCGAGTGTGGAGTGAGGAGTGTAAAGCGTAAAGTGTCGAGTGTGGAGTGTAAAGTTTACAGTGTGGAGTTTGGAGTCTAAAGTGTGGAGTGGGGAGTGTGGAGTGTGGAGTGGAAAGTGTAGAGTGTGAAGTGTGGAGTGTAAAGTGTAGAGTGTGGAGTGAGGACTGTTAAGTGTGGAGTGAGGAGTGTAAAGTGTAGAGTGTGGAGCGCGGGGAAAGTGTAGAATGTGAAGTGTGGAGTGTGGAGTGTAAAGTGAGGAGTGTGGAGTGTGTAAAGTGTAGAGTGTGGAGTGTAAAGTGTGGAGTGTAAAGCGTGGAGTGTGGAGTGCGGAGTGTGGAGTGGAAAGTGTGGAGTGTAAAGTGAGGAAGGTGGAGTGTAGAGTGTGGAGTGAGGAGTGTAAAGTGTAAAGTGTGGAGTGTGGAGTGTAAAGTGAGGAGTGTGGAGTGTAGTGTGGAGTAAGGAATGTAAAGTGTGGAGTGTAAAGTGTGGAGTGTGGAGTGTGGAGTGGAAAGTGTAGAGTGTGGAGTGCAAAGTGAGGAGTGTGGAGTCTAGAGTGTGGAGTGAGGAGTGTGGAGTGTAAAGTGTGGAGTGTAAAGTGTAAAGTGTGGAGTGTGGAGTGTGGAGTGTAAAGTGCAGAGTGTGGAGTGGAAAGTGTGGAGTGTAGAGTGTGGAGTGTGGAGTGTAAAATGTAAAGTGTGGAGTGTAAAGTGTGGAGTGTGGAGTGGAAAGTGTGGAGTGTGAAGTGTGGAGTGTAAAGTGAGGAGTGTGGAGTGTAAAGTGTGGAGTGTGGAGTGTAAAGTGTAAAGTGTAAAGTGTGGAGTGTAAAGTGTAAAGTGTGGAGTGTGGAGTGGAAAGTGTAGAGTGTGGAGTGTGGAGTGTGGAGTGTAAAGTGAGGAGTGTGGAGTGTAGAGTGTGGAGTGTAAAATGTAAAGTGTGAAGTGTAGAGTGCAAAGTGTGGAGTGTGGAGTGTAGAGTGTACACTGTAGAGAGTAAAGTGTAGAGTGTGGAGTGTAGAGTGTAAAGTGTAGAGTGTGGAGTGAGGAGTGCAAAGTGTGGAGTTTGGAGTCTAAAGTGTGGAGTGGGGAGTGTGGAGTGTGGAGTGGAAAGTGTAGAGTGTGAAGTGTGGAGTGTAAAGTGAGGACTGTGGATTGTAAAGTGTGGAGTGTGGAGTGATGAGTGTAGAGTGTAAAGTGTGGAGCGTGGAGTGTAAAGTGTGGAGTGTGGAGTGTAAAGTGTAGAGTGTGGAGTGTGGAGTGTAAAGTGAGGAGTGTAGAGTATAGAGTGTGGAGTGAGGAGTGAGGAGTGTGTAAAGTGTAGAGTGTGGAGTGTGGAGTGTAAGTGTATAGTTCAGAGTGTAAAGTGTAGAGTGTGGAGTGTAGAGAGTAAAGTGTAGAGTGTGGAGTGTAAAGTGTAGAGTGAGGAATGTGGAGTGTAAAGTGTGGAGTGTGGAGTGTAAAGTCTCAAGAGAGGAGTGAGGAGTGTAAAGTGCAAAGTGTAAAGTGAGGAGTGTAAAGTGTAGAGTGTGGAGTGTGGAGTCTAAAGTGTAAATTGTGGAATTGTGGAGTGTGGAGTGTGGAGTGTAGAGTGTGGAGTGCGAAGCTTCCCCCATAGACACGGCGACGCCACAGGAAAACCAGAGACTCGAGACGAGACACGTGGGTGCAGAAAAACGAGCATTTTGTGCGAGACTTCCTCCAATTTTGACATTTTCGACACGTTATCAAACAGGTTGGAATGTCACAAAGTGCCACGCCTGCCACGCAAAACGGCATGACAACCTGCTTGGAAACCTTCGAAAAGGAGAGGTTTTGCAGCTTCCCCCATAGACACGGCGACGCCACAGGAAAACCAGAGACTCGAGACACAAAACACATGGATGCAGAAAAACGAGCATTTCGTGCGAGACTTCCTCCAATTTTGACATTTTCGACACGTTATCAAACAGCTTGGACTGTCACAAAGTGCCACGCCTGCCACGCAAAAGGACATGACAACCTGCGTGGAAACATTCGAAAAGGAGAGGTTTTGCGGCTTCCCCCATAGACTCGGCGACGCCACAGGACAACCAGCGACTCCAGACGACACACGTGGGTGCAAAAAAACGAGCATTTCGTACGAGACTTCCGGCAATTTTCAAAGTTGGCATCATGACAAAAAGACCTTCCCCCATAGACACGGCGAGGCCACGGGAAAACCAGAGACGCGAGACAAGACAGGTGGGAGCACTAAAACGAGCATTTCCTGCGAGACTTCCTCCAATTTTCACACTTTGCAGCTTCAAAATCAACGTTTTCCTACGAGTTTTCCTTAGAACCTGAAAATTTGCAACCTCAAAATCGATGTTTCGTGCGAGGCTTCTGTCAATTTTCAGCGCATCGCACAAAATGCCACGCCTGCCACGGAATTTGCACCTTGTCGCCACTTGACGCAGCCCTGCCAATGCGATTTACAAAAAACACGCAACAGGACACGTCTAAAGTGCTGCGCCTGCCACAAAAAATGACAATGGACACGTCCAAAGTGCTGCGCCTGCCACGAAAACTGCAACACATCTTCTGAAAACGTCACAAAAGTATTGCACCTGCCACGCGAAACGATTTTCAACACGTTGCAAAACACGTCTGAATGTCACGAAGTGCCACGCCTGCCACGCGAAACGAAGCAACGACACGTCTGAAACCTCCAAAAATGACCCCCTCTGCAAAACTTCCCATAGGCACGGCCATACGGACCTCGTACGAACGGTTGCGAACGGTTGCGGACGGTTGCGGACGGTTGCGGACGGTTGCGAACGGTTGCGGACGCGGACGCAACGTCGAGCGAACACACTCTCAACCCCCAGACCCCCAGAGTGAAACGGGAACCCTTGCTACGCATTCGGGAAAAAACGCCCAGCCACTTTAACAAGAGGAATCGGTGGAACTGGGTGACAGCCGACCCGAACTCTCTATCACCAGGATGTGACCCAGACGAGTTTCACCGTGATCATGTTCTGGCGCAATGATGTTCCTCGATCCGCTGCCAGAGATGTCGGGCGCCAGATGCCACTGATGGCAGTATAGAATGCACAAGAAGCTGCAGTGGCACATTGAAAAAATCATGATGTGTTTTTCTTAATGGTTCTCCTCAGATTCTAAGCGTAGTACTAGATGGAACATTGTTATTCAAATGTGCCTTGTTGCTGTTTGTTTCCATTACTCTGTAATTCCTAGCTGTGGAACGGAGCATCCTGGTGTCAAGGGTTGATCCATGACCACATTGTTCCGCAGATGGGTTCCGCACGTTGTATCGCCGAAGAACTTCCGTTGGCTGAAGTCCTTCTGCCCTCCAAAGACCGGCAGGCCCCTCTATGGGTTGGTTGTCTCCCATGTTTAATCCAAAGGTTCCTGAACATGTTGCTTATATATCCTGGTTCTACAACCAACAATAAAATGTTGATTGGACCCCATCTTCACATCCCACCATTGATGCTCACACATCAGCTGAGGTTCTTTTGAATGAACAAGAAATGGATGACCTGCAAAAGTTGCTGGGCACGACGACTGGAGTAGCCATGACATGGGGAACACCGGACTGTTTGTGTTGTGGCAAACCCAAGCATTAATTGTCCCATGCACCATTTTACATCATGCCAAAGAAGGCTATAACCATGGTATAACCATGGTATAATGAGCATTAGTTGCCCATCCCTATCATTTGCAATCGGTAGAATTGCATTGTTGGTCGCTCAAGATCCTTTTTTTTGTGTTGCTGGAACATGACAACTTATGGTCGCTATGGTGTTTCAATTCAATCCTTGCCTTGCTTGGGCAAGCCCATTTGTACTTGTAGTTGATATTAATCAGAATCAAACTATACATCAAAATACATCAAACTCGTTCAATCCCACAAAAACCCTAATCGTTCTTGCTTCTACCACCATTTTTCCTGGCCGAGTGTCACATGTCAACTTAGGAGGTCGCAAAGCATTGTTGAGCTCCTGCCAAAGTTGTCGCAGGAGGGCAAGCGAGCCCTGGCAATGGAATTAAAGGATTTTAAAGGGATTTTACCGTCAACAAATGGTGATTTTATGGGATTTAGGGAAAATTTGATGGGATTTGTTGGGATTTAAATGGGTTGTATTGGCATTTTAAGGGATTTATTTTTTTATGGGATTTTGATGGGATTGAACCATCAACCATGGGGATAGTCGAAATATCATCTGGGTAATGTCACTGTAATGGAAATTGGATCGGGGCCACTATCCCGGCCTTTGGTGAATCATTACGATCTATCCAGTTGGGTATGGATTAATGTCATGGTTTTAGTCTTGGCGGGAAAATGTGGGAGACTGTTGGTGGATTCTAACTAGTTGATAATTCATAATCATGGGCGGAGATATCTTCAGCCAAAAAGTACCTGTTGACTGTACTTTTTCTCCAACACATATTATATGGAATGCATATCCAAATATGCGGATTTATGGTATATTTTTTTGAAATTCTACATAGTTCTATGGAATACAACAAATCTGGGGATATGGCTGAAACTTGTTGGCTTGAAAAAATGAATGGGTTGATCGAGATATTTTGTGGGTCCATTGAGGGCACTAGATATTTTAAGCGATAAAAGATGTGAGTTCTACCCAGCAATCTTTGGAATTTAGTCAAACATAGTCCCGTCGAACTACTATATTTGATGAGTTCATTTGATTCGTGGCATATACATACATACATACATACATACATACATAGATGCATACATACATAGCTGCATCTATGCATGCATACATGCATACATGCATCCATGCATCCATGCATCCATGCATGCATGCATGCATGCAGACATACAGACATACACACACAGACATACACACACACAGACATACACACACAAACATACACACACAGACATACACACACGGACATACACACACGGGCATACACACATGCATACATACATACATACGTCCGTCCGTCCGTCCGTCCGTACGTACGTACGTACGTACATCCATCCATCCATCCATGCATCCATCCATCCATCCATCCATCCATCCATACATACAGACATACATCATACATACATACATACATACATACATACGTACATACGTACATACGTACATACGTACATACGTACATACGTACATACGTACATACGTACATACGTACATACGTACATACGTTACATACATACGTTACATACATACGTTACATACATACGTTACATACATACGTTACATACATACGTTACATACATACATACATACGTTACATACATACATACATACATACATACATACATACATACATACATACATACATACATACATACATACATACATACATACATACATACATACATACGTATTTACAGACAGACAGACAGACAGACAGACAGACAGACAGACAGACAGACAGACAGACAGACAGACAGACAGACAGACAGACAGACAGACATACATACATACATACATACATATTATATATATACACCATATTTATATACATACAGTACATATATATGTATATACATATTTATAATATATATATATATATATTATATATATATATACGAGTTGATATCCAGTTTATGCCAGTTCCAAAAGGGGGCCTACCAAATTGATTTGGAACTCCGATTGTTATTTATATATATAAGCATTATCATGTTTTATTAATTGGTATTTGTATGTAAACGAAGAAACAGTTCCATTTTAATCTAGTGAATTTATCTATACTTGTATACGGTTGGTATCCATTTTTTCATGCCACTTCCACTTCAATGCAGACTTGGTACCTAAATTGGAAAGAGTCAGTCATTCGGCATCCTTTTTTCACTTAGCATGATAGTCGAAAATCACCTTTTCTAATAGGTAAATCACCTATAAATGGATGATTTTTCCGCATGTAACCAATCACCAGAGGGTATTAATTAACCCATATTCCATTGACATTCCATTCTTAATCAATGTTATATATTCTATCAATTTCTACCATACTTTATTCTTTTATATATGTATTCATCATGTATCCATCATATATCCATAATATCCTCACAATAGTTGGGTTATGTATGTTATATCCCAATTTGCATCCCTTGGTTGTTCGAATGTCTCCTGGTTCCCACGGCGTCGCAGCATTCAGGCTCCTGGATCATCAGAGGAACTCTGGTGCAAGTGTCCCGGAAAAACGTAGCGGTGATGCCACTGTTGAACCCCCAGTTATACCAGTTATAAAATGTTATAAAATGTTATAAATGGTTATAAATCGGGGATATACAGTCCCATTAAATGGGGTATTATAACTGACTTAAAACTGATTTAGAACTGGTATTTCGGGCCATAACTGTAAGTTGGCTGATAACTCGGTTGATGACTTAGTATTTGGTAAAGGTTTGGGTTTATGGTGATTATAACTAAATCTAGATGGGTAAGAAGCCATCTTGTAACCAGGCAGCATGACCATGTAGAAATGGTAGGAATTGTAAGGGCAGCTATCTTTCAAAATTATTCAAATTGCAGAACTTGGCTGGGTGAATCACTATAATGCATCCAGAACATATGTCCATTGTTTTCCCGGTTGCGTTTGTTTCTTTTTGATGAGTTGGAAATGACATGCAATAACGGACATGATCAGGAATATAGTCACCAGCAATTTTGCTATGATCCTGAATAGTTGTAGCCCGCCTGGTAGGAGATGTCAAGGTTCATACACTCCCAATAGAAGGAATAAGGAATACCCACGCATGGCAACTCATGTTGTAAACCCAACACCAACCGAAATGTTCTGAAGTTTCATCAGTAACAACAACAACGACGACAGCAACAACGACAACAACAATGCAACATGATTAAATAACATAGCTAGTTTCAGTTAGTGTCGATTATCATTGGGGGTTATTAGCACATATTACCTTTTTAGTTGAATCTATTCGCAATTGAGCAATTGTTCCCATGCTGAGCTGCCCTGTTGCTGGTTCTCTTTTTGAGGACTTGACCAGTGACATCCAGTGACCAACCCCGAGGTGCTGGAAGCGGAACGGCTCATCTATGAGGGACCCCAGCCATCGCAGCCATCGCAGTCGCAGAAGCGGAAGCGGTCAGAGGTTGGAACGGAGGGGAAACAGCCACCGGGGAATGTCACGATTGCGCCCAAACGATAAGGGTAGCTAAGTTGGTGAACATAGGCTAACTATGGCGAACTGGGATTCATTGGTTTAACTAGAATGGTTCAAATGGTGATCATAGTCATTGCGTGATGATTTACCCGGTAAGTGGGGTTTGTTATCAACAACCACTGGGGAAATGTCATGGGATTTATTTTTTACCGGCCAAAATGGGGAGTAGATGGGATATTTCATGGCGATTCAAATGTGGCATTGGGGAGAATCAAGGAGACTCTGAGTCCCATACGGAATCCAACCTGGCTGGCGGTGTCACCAACTTGGAATCCCACAGAGTCCCCACCACAGCCAACAACGATTGTAGCCGGATCCACAGTAGCTTATAATATCACCAGATATCATTATGATATATATATATATATAATAATATATATATATATGTATTAATGTTATATATATATAATAATAATTATTATTATTATAACAATAATAATAATAACAATAATAATAATAATTAATAATAAAACAATAATAATAACGATAATAATAATAATAATAATATATATAATTATGTATATATATATATACCACTGGTTCATCTCACTGGTTTATCCAGCTTTGAGATGATGTAAGCTGGCTATCTCCTGTGGTTTGTGCTTCTTTGACGAGTCAAGTCCCGCACTTTGCCATTATCATGGAAAAATCACAGGAAAACCGACAGAAAATGATGCTAGAATCACCAAAGATCATGATTCAAAAGCATTCAGAAGTAGCAGCAATCATATAAATCGGACAATCCATAGATATCCATAGACTATCGCACAATCTCCATTAAACAAAAAAATCAAACATTAAAAAACACGTGGCAAACTCAGGACCTGCCCATTTTTGGGCCGAATTTCCCATGGATCCGCGCCAGGATTCGGCCGAGCCGGAGAACTCTGAACCAGGTGCAGGTTCAGAACATGGATATGACGAGTGGTCTTGATGGGGAAATATATACCATTTGGTTATTTAACATAGGCATGGAAAATCACAATTTTTAATAGGTAAATCATCTATAAATGGGCCATTGTTCATGGCTATGTTAAATAACCAGAGGGTAATATAATAATATAGATAACAACTGAATTAACAATGTACCAATGATATTTATTCAATTTAATGGTCTTAGTACTTTTGCATCAATTAGTCAATGGTGTTAGCACTAGAATAATAGCAATTTATAATAACAATAACGATAATGTTGTAACAATAATGATAAGATAAAACATAATAATGAATGGTGATAATAATAACAATGATAATACTAAAAATAACAATAGCAATGATACAACTACTGTAACTGATAGCAATAATAGTGATAAAACTATTAATAATAATGATAACGCTAACAATACGAATAGTGATGATCATATATATATATATATAATTGATATACTTAAGATATGTATAATATATATATATACATATATACATAATTGGAATATCATGGAATTACCTGGTGGATTGAATCTAAAATTTTAATGGTGATATAGTATATGTATACATATATTTTGATGGTTATATCTATCCAATTGTACATATACGGTTGATGGTATAAATGACCGTATTATTCTTATGCTTCAGTGGGCAAAGTGTATATGAATAGTGGATATATTACACTTAAAGCCCTTTGCCACTTGTATATGATTATAAATGGGCCTATTTTTCCGTAAATGGTGTTGAAACTAACTCACAACTGGTGAAGGGCCATAACCGTCATATATATATATATATATACAGTATATATAATAGGGATATCATAAAATATACATTCGGGATATTAATAGGTACCCGGGTATCCTACAAGAATGCTCAAGATCAATAGAATTTATGCATATCCTCAAGAGAATATTCACATGGAACCCACAGGAGGGTTGGGCACTTCGCCATGCCGTGCAGGTGCGTCCAAATGAGTGGAGCACATGGCGAAAAAATGGCGCAGTCTGATGGGATCTCATGGGTATCGTTCTGGACCGTCAGCTGCTGGTCGTTTTTTTTTTTAAGATTTTGACGTGTCATGAATGTCATGTTTCTTCCATCCTCGTCTACTGCTTTTGGCCGTCCAAAAAATGATGGCTACGGGACCACTTTTCTGATCCGAAAATCATGATCCATTCAAAAACTCGATTTTTCGGGCAAAGCCACTAACTTACCCCCTCAGAGTGTCTATAAAAGGCAGTAAAACGTTTTACCCGTGGAGAAACATGCCAATTTTTACAGGCCCCATTGAGGATGTAGGTATATCTTAATTCATGATAACTTCTCTCCAGCCTCCAGTAGTCTTGTAGTCGGGGATAACCTGACAATGGACAATGTGTTGAATCGATGTATCTTCACGTAAGGGTGATATTCTCCATGCCCCAGTTTTCTGGAGGTTATTTGGCGATGTTCCAAGAGTAGAAAATAACAGTGGAAGAGTTGGGCATCGAGAATAATCTGGGAAAAGCCTGGCCTATGGAACAATTCTCAGGTTGCCATGGTGAGGAGATTTTAGTCGACTACTGACCCGTGTCAGGCTGTTTCAGCATCGATTCGTTTACCCCTCGTGCGCAAGAGCTTCTCAATTTGATCCATAGGGATGGTTCTCAATCCATTCATGGATAACATGTAATACTGGTTTCTGTTGCTCTATATATATTATATATTATATTATATTATATATATATATTATATTATATATCATATATATATACAATATATTATCTATCATGGCAACCAATGGTAGATAAATCGACCAATCATGGCATATGTTATGCTAATATGTATCGATCCACGCTGGGATTCCCTGCTGGGATGACCATGGAAGACCACGTCCAGGTCAGCGACGATGTCAGTGACGAGGCGCCTACGGTGTAGACTTCATCTGACATGTCTGACCTTATTTTTACATGTTTTGTTTAACCATATGTGGTGTGATTTTACAATATTTTACTATACTTTACTATATGTTTTACCATATCTGGGGTGATTTTACTATATTTTTCAATATTTTACAATATTTTGCCATATGTGGTGTGATTTTACTATATTTTACCATATTTTGGATGTGGGGTGAAGAACATCCAAGAACTGTAGCTGCTATTTTAAGCTGAACTACAGGTACCAGGGTTTTGTTACCCAAACATAAGCAGCTAAAAGCAGAAAGCAGGGTTGTACAGGCAATCCACATCTGAAATTCACTTCCAGGACGGAAAGGAACTTGGACGGTGCTAAGTGTCAGAAAAGACACGGAAAAAACACAGGTGGGTTGGTGTTTTTTTTGCAGATATGTACCGGTCCCTCAACATCCCTAAACCAACCATTCATTTATTGGATGGGATCTGGATTTCTGGGATTGCCATGTTGCCCAGATTTGTGGGAACTGCAAACACCAAGCCTCAACAAGATACCCCAAGTCAGTGACAGGACGGTTGGCTTAGCTTGGCTTTTAAATCATGTTATCTCAAGCTTTGTAGGGTATCATACATTGTGTTTCACCGGGGATTGTCCATAGTATTTTCTATCCTCCAGTGGTCTCCAGTGTAGATATCGATCGGGTTGTTGAGTTATTTTGGTGAGTATGATAATCGCTAGAAAGGTGGCATGAGTCACGAGTCTGGGAATACATGGCACTTGGTGGTCCTTCCGAGACTAGCTTCTGATACCATTTCCAAATATTGTATGTATGTATGTAATGTAATGTAATGTAAATGTAAATGTAAATGTAAATGTAATGCAATGTAATGTAATGTTAATGTATGTAATGTATGTATCTATATATATATATGATTGCATATAGTATGAGAAGGGAATTGCAATCCACACATATTGTAGTAGATCACAGAATTGTAGCTATATTCCATATATTACATGTGTGTAGCGCCACCAACCGGCTGATCTCCGTTTCGCCAGCGTTCCCAGCGGGGCGGGACACCGCCGGGGCGCCCCGACAGCGCGCAGGGGACTTTTTTCGTTTTTTTAACGGTCAACGGTCAACACATCAGACAACAAAAACACGCCTTTTGAAGTTGGATGAGAACTGAAAGCAGAATGAGTTTTGCTATAGATTTAGTTTCCATAAGAGGGTTGCTTTTGAGGCTGAAATCTGACATTCCATTTGCGGCTTATTGGTTTTCAGTGCATGTCATGTCAAATGGCAAGAAAATCTGAATCATATCATATATCTGAATCCCATATATAATCCTCAACCATCTGCCAAAAAACATCTGGAATCTGGCCAGTTTTTAGACATCTGAGACAAGAGGTGCCACTTGCTGAGTCGCTGAAAAAGGCTGATATCATCGCCATGATGGAACTACCGGGACCCACATTGATTCAAAACATCAAGCGACGACAAGAAGCGGAGGCGCCGGCCGTCGTGGGATGTTTCAAATGTGGTGAAACCTGCATTTTCTGATGGGTCAACTCAAATACTGACCGGTGAATCACTTAAATGGTCGCTCATGATCACACATGGATGCAAGGTGGAACAAACATCAGATTACTTGTGGAAGACATTTTTTAAGGATGCTACTGCTTTCCAGTATCCTTCGCAACATGGGTGTATCCAACATAGGAAAGAACACGGGTAGATAACCCTTTTTGTTGCAAAGAATGCTGGAATTGTGTTGGGAAGTCATGATCATCATCTATCGATTGTTTTGTTTTGGTGCCCCATGTCGATGTTTGGTCAGACCCAACTCATATTGTTGGTTCTACAGGCGATAAGATGCCTACATATTTTGTATATACACATACAATCACATACATTGATGTATTTATTCGGAGCATGTTCCCAGTGAATGGCCTTAAAGTTGTTTCATGTGATAAAACCAATAACTATACACAGTATATATATATATATATCTATCTATCTGGGTAAATTATAACGACCTCACTGCGACCTCACTGGAATCATGGTTAGTAAGAGGAATCATCCCAAAATGACCTTATTTCAGGTTAGTGAATTATTGTAATTTACCCAGATATATAGCAAGTCCAAAACAATCACCAGAAATGGGTAGCAACAGTTTTTTGTTCAGCCTCCTGGGAGACCCGAGATTTGTCGCTGCCAGGGTGAGAACTTGGTCAAGCGACGGCACGTGTCAGGCGAGACCGCCTGTCAGCCAATTCCAGGGTTTTATGGGGAAAATCATGGACCACATATGGATACATATGGGAAATTCACCTGAAAAATATGGAGAGAGTAGCAGAAACATATGGACCACATATGGGAAATTAACCTGAAACTACCAGAACATATGAAGGCAGCAGGATTTTACATGCTTTTCTTGAGAAAGGGGACCACCAAACAACAACATAACACATTGAGAAAGTACGGGATTATCAAATGCTTGCAATAAACTCATTCCAAAAACACACCCAACACATTTGGGGATTGATGATGAATAGATATATTGGCTATTTACATAAAGAACTGGGGAAGCATAGGAACTGATATGGGGGTTCAACCAACAACTATGGGTCTATTTCAAAGGGTTGCAACTAACAATTCTGGGGACACCCACTGGACAGGTGTCTTATAACGTATTTCATTGCTATAGAATGGGGCTGTGTACTACAATCTTTCTTTTTTCATGCAGGGTATCCAAGATTGGTCCTGATTTAAAATTTCAGAATTTGCTGTAGTCATTCGCCCCATGATTTTGCAATGAGAGCCTGATTTTGACAAATCCAAATGGTACCTTTGAATACCTTTGAACAAGTAGAGGTCTGGATCAACAAGTACCCACTGGTAATTTGAGTATAGCCATAGCTATTGAAAATTGCCATTTATAAATCATTTCTACTTGATTGATCCATTAAACATTGTGAATTTCCCATATTTTCCATAGTTTTTTGTATCTTTACCAGAGGGTACAGGCGGAACATGACCAGCCTGGCCAGCCTGCAGGTGGAACTGCGCGACCCGTGCAGTGTCCGAGTCTCAGAATCAAACGAGTTTCGGCGGCTACGCCCGCGGTTGAAATCACTCAAAATCCCTTCAGTGGCAGTGACGTCGAGTCATGAATTGTGTTTTTTTTACATAATAATAATAGTAATAATAATAACAATGTATGGATGTCCATGTTTGTTATCACTATCTACTCGCTTGCTGCCAACGTACTTTATTGTTTGAATCAACATTTGAGGATTATCAATCCATCAATCGCAACCAACAATGAAATAACCAGACAAAAAAAAAGCGCCTTGAACATTGCCCACATGAAATCTCCATGATATAGCGGATGGTTGCGAAATCCTGCACAAGTTGGTCGATAGCTTATCCCATTACAATCACATTACAGTCCCAGTTTCACATTGTTTCGTAGTTATCAATAATAGTTACCAACTGGTATCATTATCTCATAGATATGTCCTTCAATCATCTAAAATCACAATTTTTAGTGGTAATACCCCATAAAAGTACTAAGTTAAAATGATTTCCCAATCAGCTGGTTTTGAACCCCATGAAAAAAATCCCCATTAAATCACCCTCACCATGAACATCTCCCACAAATATAAATATATGTTTACACACACTTTAGTGATATCCCATATATCATGATGTAAAATAGTATAGTTATCACCAAAGTCATAGTATAAAACACTTTAGACCATAGTATAAATCCCATCAAGTTCCCACGAAATCACCATATCTTGGTCATCTCCCATCACCGACGCCAGGTGATGGCGCCACCTCTGCTGCCGCCGCCGCGGCCGCCGCCAAAGCCACGGCCGCGCTGCGCGCGGCGCCGGCGCTGCCGGGGGTGATGCCGCGCAGACGGCCCTCGGGCCAGGCGTGGGGCACCGGGGGGATATATTACATTATAATAATTATTATAATTATATATATATTATATATATGTACATATATATATATGTATACATTTAAGTCTGAAGATCATACTATTTGGGGTAAACCTATATATATATATATACATATGTATATGTACATATAATGCAAAAATACATGGAATACCTGTAATTGCAGGTATGTAGGTTATTGATGGATACATATG